TGCTTCTAACCACTGCCTTATCTACCCTCCCTTTTATGACACCCCCCCCCACACACACTTTCTCTTATCGTTTTCCCATCCTACTTCCCAATTGGGCAAGATAGGTTTCTATTAGCAATTAAGTACACACATCCACATCCACATATGTGTTCCCTCTTTGAACCAATTTCGATGTGAGGCAGTGCTGCCTATTCCTTCACCATTTTCTCATCCACTGTAAAAGCCCTTCTTTGCGCACCTTAAGTGAGATAATTTTCCCCATTCTTCCTTTCTTACCCCTTCTCCCAGGACATCCCTCTTTCTTGTCTATCCATGTTCTTTTTACATTATCCCAACATAATCAACTCACTCCCATGCCCACTTTCTATGTAGAATCCTTCTAACTGCCCTAATAAGAAAAAAAGTTCTTAAAATTCACATGTATCCTCTTCCCATATAGAAAGGCAAACAGTTTAACCTTATTGATTCCCTTATGATTTCTTTTTCATGTTTACCTTTTTATGCTTCTCTTGAGTCTTGCATTTGAAAGTCAAGTTTTCTATTCATCTTCAGTCTTTTCATCAGAAATGCGTTGAAGTTCTTTATTTCATTAAACATCCATTTTTTTTTCCCTTGGAGGATTATGCTGTTTTTCTGGGTAGGCTATTCTCAGTTGTAATCCCATCTCTTTTGCCTTCTGGAATATTATATTCCAAGTCCTTCGCACCTTTAACATAGTTAACTGCTAAATCTTGTGTAATACTGACTGTGGCTCCATGGTATTTGAATGATTCTTTCTGGCTGTTTGAATTGTTTTCTCTTTAGACTCAGAGCTCTGGAGTTTGGTCATAATATTCCTGAAAGTTTCATTTTGGAATCTCAGGAAGTGATTAGTAGATTCTTTCTGTTTCTATTTTATCCTCTGGTTTTAGGATATCAGAGCAATTTTCCTTGGTAATTCCTTGAAATATGATGTCTAAGCTTTCTTTGATCATGGCTTCTTTCCTTGATCTGTTTTCCAGATCAGTTGTTTTTCTGAAGAGATATTTCCCATTTTCTTATTTTTATTTATTCTTTTGACTTTGTTTTCTTGTTTCCTGATGTCTCATGAAGTCGTTAGCTTTCATTTGCCCAATCCTAATTTTTAAGGAGTTATTTTCATCAGTGACATTTTGTACCTCTTTTTTCATTTGGTCAGTTCTGTTTTGAAAGGTGTAATTTTCTTTAGCAGGGAGGGGGAGGAACACTGTCTCAAGCTTCAGGCTTTTTTGCACTGTTTTCAGAACTATTTCTGGAGATTTAGACTTTTTGGTGCTACCAAGGTGGTGTGATCTGGGGAAAGGTGTGGTCACTGCTCTCCTCTGGTCCTTACCCAGGAAGGGTCCCTGGACCCTTGGTGTTATAATCCATACTACTCCTCAGGGTTTCAGATCCCTTATGACCAAAAGTGATACTGCCCCTCAGGGTTTCTGCTCCCTTTTGACCAAAAATGCTCCTCTCCATCATTGAACTATGACCCTGAATGGAGTATACACAATGGAGTTGACAGTGCCTGATCCTGCATCCAGTGCTAGAGGAGGGGTCCCCTATACTCTCTTTCTGACCAGTTCCCTGGTCCCCTTACCATCTCTGGCTTGAGAACTCTCAAAGTTGCTGCTGCTTCTGTCACCACCACTACCTAGTGCCATTACCAGTGTTTTATCTATGTGGGCTCTGGATCAGACTGTACCCCTATGTTATGACATGGCTTTCTTTCCAACCTCCCAAGTTGTCTTGGGCAGGAAGCATATCTCACTTTGACCTTTTATTTGCTCTGTCACTCCAGGATTCTATTCGTTTTGAGGCATTATTTTAAAGTTATTTGGAGAGGAATGTTGGGAGAGCTTGGTTGGGTGCTTTCTGTATTCTGCTATCTTGGCTCCATCCCCAGAAGTTCCCACTTAGTTTTTCAAATGTAGATTGTGACACAGTGGATAGAGCACCAGCTCTGGAGTCAGGAGGCCCTGAGTTCAAATTTGGCCTTAGACACATAACACTCACTAGCTGTGTGACTGGGCCAGTCACTTAACTCCAATTGTCTCACCAATAAATAAATAAATAAATAAGTATTTTTTTTTATGTAGATTACGGTCAGGCCAAACTCTATTGAATGTTTACAAATCTCATTCAGGAGATGCTGTAATGTTCTGGAGTTTAACGAATTCAGTGTGATGTCATCCACAAAGAGGACCATCTGAAAGCTTTGACCATCTTCAACTTGGACTCTGTGCTTGACCTCATTCATTACAGCGGTAAATACTTCAGTAAGTATGCACCATCCAGTTTATCTCCCTCATACTAATTAACAGTCATCAAACAAGGTTAGTGGGTACAGGAGATAAAGCATTGGACCCGGAGTGAAGAACACCCAAGTTTAAATTCAGACTAAGACTTACTTGATTTGTGAGCCTGGAAAGTCACCTAACCTTTGTCTAAACCTATCTCCTAGGGTTGTTGTGAGGATAAAATGAGACATTTGTAAAGCACTGTGCAAAACTTAAAGCACTATATAAATGCCACCATCATCAACTTCTTCCAAGAAATCTTGAATGGTTTTGAAGGGAAGACAGGTTTTTTTTAATTACATTTTGCTCTACTTAATCAAATGCTTTTTTAAAATTGGCAAACAGTATGCACGGTGGACTCTTGTACTCTTTTAAACAATTGTGTGATAATAGATGTGGTCTACTCTGTAACATTGCTTCCAAAAGCCTGCCTTTTCCCTACCAATACTCCCATCATAGATGCTTTCAATGTGGGTATAGATGATTTTCATAAATATCTTATGTAAATGGGAAAGTAGACATTTGTCAACAGTTCTCTTTCTTGGTGTTGGGGGCAGGAGGTGATATTAATGTGGTGTGAGTTCTTTCTTTTGACCCCTCTGATATTTTCCTTCCTTCAGATACCTTATGAATTGATCCCTCAAAGTCCTCAAAATTGTGTCGACTCCAGCATTTCTTTGTATATTTGCTCTAATGGTGTAATGGAATGGTAGACTGGAAATAATATCTGGATTTGAATCTTGCCTGAAATTCTTACTAGCTCTATGACCCTGAGAAAGTTACTTAACCTCACTAGGCTATACTTTCTGTATCTGTAAAATGAGGGAGTTGATGACTTCTAAATTCTCTTCCAACTCTAACTCTTATGTTCTTGTTTTTCCCCATCTTATTTTTATTTCTAGACATTTATGAGATTGGTAAGAGTCCAGATATGGTGGCTTTACTGCTTCTGATTATGAAGTTTGTTATTAAAATATTTGCAGGTTTCTTTTACATTTTTGTTCTTTTTGTTGTCTTCCTTCCATTTTCATCTTTAAATGTCCGTGAGATGACATAAATTGGGTTTTAAACTGACTGTATTGCATCTCTCTTTTAGGTGCTATTACTCATAATCTTTGATCATCTTTCTTAGGATTTTTAGACACAAGTGTTCCAAACAAGTGTTTTTGGTATTTTTCCCCTTTGGGCTGGCATATCTTCCCGATTGGTAAATCTAGTGTCTGATGACTAAGGCACTTTTTGTTCTTTTGATCTTCTTGTTACAGCAATTGATTTCTATCAGTTAAATGTCTATAGGACATTAGAGTCTGATTCTACATTCATTATTCTATCCATTACCAAATTTACATTATTCCTAACTTGTTTGAATAGAGCAGGATTAAAATTTTCAATTCTATGGTTTCTTATTCTATTCTTGTTTTGTATTGATTTTGCTTTGCTCTAACAAATATGTGGCATACATAGAGATAATTGAGTCATTTTGTGTTGTTAAAATACTCATTTCATATTTTGCAATATTATTCAGCGCCCACCATGTGCTACACCTACCAATTCTATTGTCAAAAGAGTATTCATGATGAGATGTGGACTTTTGATGTAGTGTACAAATCTTTAGACTCTCATTCCTTATTCCTGATCCAAGTTTTCCAATATATTTCTCATCCTCACTTATTCCCATTTTTGTAATGAAATTACCAATTATCAAAGACTACGTTGATTTATTTTTAAGATTCGTAACAAGTTCTTGAAGATTCATAAAACTGATTATGACACAGCATCATAAAATGTATCTTCAATAAATACTTCCTAAGTTGTAATTTTAATGTAAAGCCCTACAGCGTGAAGTCATTTCTAAAACTTTGTATTAAATTTCCCCAAGAGTATATCAAACCCAGACTTTTTATGACCAAATGTCCTATGAAAACGTGAAATTGTTTCTTATTGCCTTTGGGTGGATAATAAAACATATTACTGTAATTTCTTTTTTACTTCTGCAAGAAGAACCTGTAACTATCCTTTTGTTTTAGCTATTAACTTACTTTTTCTTCAAATTTTGTTTATAGCACAAAATGGCAAGAATGATACGATACAGAATTTCTATAGTAGTATGTCAACTGGTTGGTCCATTGGACAACAATCTCACATTTACAGTAAGTACCAAGCACCAAGTTAAAGTCTATAGATTTGTTATTCTGGTCAATTTTGATTTCTTAAAATAGGGTATTCAGGGCATTTTTATGTTATTGTTTCAACATGCTCGAAGAGGCAGATGATTTTTAGATCATGTTTCCACGTCCTGTCTAGATGAGATGTGTTTTATTGTAGTTACATGTTTTTCCATTTTTTCCTCTCTTTTGACTTTACTGATATGTCATCTGTATCACTCAATTTTTAGTTCATTTCTTTTTCAAGGCATTCAATGATTTTTAAGCTTTCCTAACTTCTGTTCTAGCCCTCTACTATCTCTTTCTTTACTACTTTTATTACAGAGTTTACATTCTATTTACATCAATCCTTTCCCTTTCACAGAAACGTTACTTCTAACTCTGTTATGCTGCCCTCAGAGAATTTAGATTTATCTTCTCACTCTAAGTGGGCTTCCTTTGGTCCCAATAATGACAGTTACCAAGTTAATGTACATAAAGCCACAGAAAGGTAGTTGAGAATGAGTTTTTAAAAATTACTGCTAATTGTGCATACCATCAGCCACAGATTTCTTTATTTTAAACTTGCTGATCAAACTTTCAGTTACAATATATGTGGCAAAAAAAAAAGAAAACAAAGATAGTTAACACACATTATCTGCCACATTTCCACTTACCTCTATTTTTGACCTGGTTTTTCTATGTTATGGGATGTGTAACATTTTTTTAAATTTTCTTGCCTTTATGATATATTAAATGGCAACAATTTAAATTTTCCTGCTTCAATGACAGGCTAAATTACTTCAAATGACAAAATGGTTATTTTATTGCCTTTTTGCTGCCAATGTTAGTGACATAATCCAGCAGATTAATAAAAAGTTGTTGAGAGGTGAACTGTAATTAATAACTCATCTCCCAACTTCAATTCTAAAACAGGTTTTCTTAAAACAGTATATTCATCATTTAGGTTTCTCAAAAATACTTACATTCTGAAATAAAAGGTTTTGCTTTTTGAGATATAAGTCTCACTTTTACCCCCAACAGAACTCAAGCTGTACTTTTTTTTCTCAAAATATATTCTGTGCAAAATGTAAGTTCTGTGTAGGTTTGTACCTTATTTTTGAAAAGTTGTTTATAAAATATAATTCCTCGAAACAACTCCAACAAGAGACAACAGAGGAAGAAGAAACATATCAGACATAGCCTAATTTTTCACATGAGAAACTAAATATGTTCTTAAAGCTCCAGTAATACATTCCTTCAAAAAATCAGAATGCACTTTGGTCATTATTAAACTTATTAGTACACAGGCAAATTTTTAAAAATGCTTACTTGTTGCTTTCCATAGAAGTAGTGTATACCACACAATCTGAGGCTAAATTACCTTCAAATCTACTGATTGTATGGAATGATAAGAACAAAGAGTTGTCTACATGGTTCTACTCTTTACACAGACCAGAAGTTACAATTTCGGTGAATACTGAACTAAATATACCAGTCTCAAATGAATAATTGATAAATTATTGATGAATTTCCTAAATGTTGAATTTCCTAAAAATTTTAAGGGTTTGAATATATTTAACATGCTGGATTTGGCTCAAACCGGACTTTTACTTATTTCAAACAATTCCTGGTTTGGGGCAAATGTCCAGTTTTCAGAAAATTCGTTAGTCATAATTGATTATACACATACAACAACCTGTAATCAAGATTCAACAAGATACCTTCAAGTTAACTCCATCTGCCTAATATGCCAATAAGATAAAGTACTCAATTTGACACTTATGGAGAAATCAATTTTCTAGAAAAATTATACTTTTAAATAGCCCTTATGTCATGAAAAAGGGAGGTGTATATCTCAGATGAAATTTAGAGGACAGAGTTTGTAAAAACTGTATTTTTCTGAAATTTTTTATATGGTTCTAGGAACAGACGTATGTGTATATACATATATCTTCTTTTATGGATATTTATCCTTAGATTGTTCACTTGAGTGTGGTATAAATGGCATGTGCTATAGTGTACCATGGGGGAAAAAAATCTATTTTACTTGAGTAAACATAAGGTACTTTAGTAAAATCAAGAGGCACTTCACTTGTGAGATGAGCATATATATCTCACTCAAAAGGATACCATATCATGCCCCCGTACACTATAACATATTCCATAGAAAGATACACATTAAAAGTAATAATTTTAAAAGTGCACATTTTGAGCATGCACAGTTAGAGCTGTGCAAACAGCCCAGTGTTTCAAATAAATACAATTATTACTAGTTAATTTTTATCAAAATACCTTACTGCTTTGTAACCATTTACAATTATTGCTCTATTAAGAGTTTTATCATCAAAGAGCACTTGTTGACCTGTTTTATATAATACCATATTAATTTATTAATACTGAAGGGTGCTTAAACTGCAGCTTAATCAGTTTAGATCCTGAAACTGTTCCAAATATAAAATACAGAGAAAACTCTGGATCTAGAAAGTATTCTAACACAGTAAATAAATCATTCAGCTATTTCTGTCAACTGACAGTTGGTTCTTATTCAGAACAATTAAGTCTATTCTGAATGTATCAGAATGCTAGGTGTATAAGTTTTGTGCCTACAGAAACATTATAAATTGTTTAACCTAAAGAATTTTTTTCTAAAGTAAGGCAAGTTCACTCTACCTATGAGGAAACGATTCTCAGCAATGACGTCTGTATTCTGGATCCACTATGTTAACAACTGACTATGAACTCTTAGCAGGATCTCAAGTACACGGATATCAGTTTTTGTCACCCTTTCAATAACTAGGTATATCAATGTCTGAAAATAAAATATAAAGACTAAAGTGTAAAAACAGTGAAAAGGTAAAAATAAATATAACAATTGCACAAGACAGTCAGATGTAAACACTTCAATTTTCTAAGCTACATCCTTTAAGGAGCCCGTAGCTTCTGAAGCACAGATTCAGTGACTGCTTTGAGACAGCTTAGTCAGTACTCTTGTTTCAATAAAGAAGACCAGGCCTTTTCTCGACATTGTCATGATTTGATCTTCCAAAGCTAAAGAGAAAACAATACAGAGTCAGAAACCATTCAAGTTATTAAGCCAGATTTACAAAAATAAAATGGTCATGTCCTTCTCTAACATTCTCCACTCTCACTTCTCTTTCAAGCTAAGTCATACAATCATTTTTTTTGGGGGGGTGGGGGGAATCGGTGTTAAGTGACTTGCCCAGAGTCACACAGCTAGTAAGTGTCTGCAGTCACATTTGAACTCAGGTTCTTCTGACTCCAAGGTTAGTGCTTTATCCACTTTGTCATCTAGCTGTCCCGCTACTTGTGGGCTATTTTTAAAAGAAAACAAAAGAATAAGCAGTTTCCTTATATTTTGTAACAGAAATGTATAGGAATTTGTACTAAGTACATGATTACATTATGCATTCTCTATGATGAGACAGTGGGGCATAGTGGACAAAGACCTCAGAGTCATTAGACCTAGGTGATAATCCTTTCTCTGATACCTACTAGCTCAGTAACCCTACATAGGTTTCAAACTCTCAGTACCCCCAAGGAACAGCTGTAGATCTGGATTGACAGAGACAGTTTCCGCATTAAAATTCCCTACACCAATGAAATCACAGGTATGTCTCTAAAAAGGTTGCAAATATTCTGATGAATTTAAAAGTGTAATATAGTCTTAGCAAAAAAAAAAAAACCAAAAACTGAGGAGGAGGGAGTGTTACAAGTCTTTCTTATTAGAAACTCTCCAAATTACAGTTCCTATAAGAGCACCAAAAAAGCCTCCATTGCACTATATATATGTATAAAATTTAGAAAGAGTGCCTGAAGCTAAATAAATGTCACAATGATCATTCTAGTAATAAAGAAAGAGAATGTTTAGCAAGCTTTCACCTTTAAATTAAATCCAAGTAAGTCACTGATAACACCAGAAACAGCAGACAATATGACAACCTGGGTAATATTGTAAAGCAGCGGATTCATTGTAAGCCCATATAACCTGAAGGGGCTGTCCAATTCCTAGTAAAAAAGAAAAAGAAATCATTAGAAATGAAATCATCATAACAAAGTGAAAATATCATGAGCTTAGAATTCATTAGGTTCTAAAGAAATAATATTACAGCTAGGAGGGACTGTAAGAATCACCTTCACTTTACAGACAGAGGTAAGCTACATGGAGTTTACAGAATAGTTTGCCTGAGGTTATATGGCCATTAAATAGCACAGCCTAGATTTGAACCTAGCCCTCCAATCCAAAATCCAGTCCTCTTTACATATTGCCTCTGTTGAACAACTTCAGGGCAAAAAATACTTTAAAGAGACTTTAACAATCAATGCTTAAAAGAATCAACATCTGTTATTGTATACACATTTAGAGATTATTAAAGTGACTAAGCTTAAAATAAGGAAATGTAGTTGTCACTTTTTTAAAGAGAAAAATCTCAAAACAACAGAAAAAGAAAGTGGTTATAAGGAGGGAACAGCAAAAAGTTTTTGTCTTTAATTCTATTGGGGATAACTGAATGACAAATGTTAACATTTAATACATTTACTATGCTAATAAATGAAAAGAGATTTGATGGAAAATCTTTCAAGGACAACAGGATCCAAGAGGGTAGCAATTTAGAATATTCTAAAAGAGCATCTATTGCCTTTTGTATATCTTAAACGAGATGTTCCATAGGCATCTCAAACTCAACGTGTCCAAAACAACTCTTATCTTTCACCAAAATCTTTTCCTCTTTCAAAATTTATTACCGTTGACAGCATCACTATTCTCCTACTCAGGCTTTCAACCTTGACGTCTTGACTCCCCACTCTCACCCCACAGAGTCAATTCACTGACTTAGAATACTTTCATACATAATTGTTGACAGTTTGGATTTCTTCCTTTGAAAATTGCTTATTTATAGCTTTTGACCATTTATATACTGAAGAATGGCTCTGATTGTTTAATTTCTTTATATGTCTTGAAAATGAGGCCTTTATCAGAAAAAATGTATTTGTAAAGATTTTTTCCTCAATTACTTGTTTCTCTATTAATTTTTACATTAGCTTTGTTCGTGCAAGACCTTTTTATTTATATAAAACCAAAACTGTCAATTTTGTAATCCTCTCCATCACCTGCTTAGCTTTAACTCTTCCTCTATCTAAAGGTATGAAAGATAACTTCTTCCTTGCTCCTCTAATTGTTTATGATGTAACCTTTTTATATCTGATCTTTGCTATCCATTTGGACAGCATCCTGGCATACAGTGTGAAGTATTAGTCTAAATTTAATGTCTATCCAATTGTTATACTCCCCTGGAGTTTTTGCCAAACAATGAGTCTTTCCCTCTCAGTTTTTAGAGTCTTTGGGTGTATCAAACATGGTACTATGTTTGTTTGCATCTGTATGCTGGATATCTAATCTATTGTGCTGATTTTTTTTAAAACAGTTCAAAATTGTTTTAATGATAACTGCTTTGTAGCACAGTTTGAGATCTGGTTCTGAGACCTTGTTTCTAATGCTTTTTTCATTATTACCCATTAGATTCTCCATATATGTTATTTTTGTTCTAGCTCTATAAAACATTCTTTTGGGACTCTGACTTGTGTAGTAGTACTGAATAAATTATTTAATTTACATAGTATTGTCATTTTCATTATATGAGCTTAACTTACGCATGAGTAATTAATGTTTCCCCAATTATTTAAGTCTGTCTTTATTTTTACAAAGAGACTATGAATCTTGGAAGAATGTATATAACTTCTGTAGTTATGTTGAATAGAATTTTTCTTTCTAGCTAATCTGGATGGGTTTTGTTGGCTATAAACAGAAATGCTGAAGACTTAAGTAATTTATCCTTCCTGAAGGTATTATTTTCATTAATTTTTAGTGGACTCCCCAAGGCTTTTTAAGTTATTATTTCAAATAGTTTATGTTGAACTAATTGTTCTTGAATCTGTGACACGTTACTTCTGAATCCATCTGGTACAAGTTCTCTCCCACCTCCACTTTGTTAGTTCATTTATGGGTTGTGTTCAATTTCTTTTTTTCTGATATAGGGTTATTTAAATAGCAAATTTCTTCTTTTTATAATGAGTATTTTATATTTTTGTAAAAATTCATCCATTTTCTGTTAGCATAAAATTGAGCAACATAGTTTCTGATTATTTCCTTTATCTCTTTTTCAACTGTTTCAAGTTTTTAAATTTTATCAACAATTTTGTTTTTCCTTCTCTTTAAAAATTAATGAAATAGATAAAATCAGCTAATCTAAACGGAGGAAATGGGGATACATTAGAACTTGTTCCAAGAAACAGAGGAATCAAGTAAGGATAACCACTCTCCCCACTATTATTTGATATAGCTCCAGAAATGCTAGTAATAGCGATAAGACAAGAGAAAGAAATTAAGGCATAAAAGGTACGTAAAGAGAAGATCCCTATTCAATGATGATAGGATGCTTTACTTGGAAAATTCTAGGCAATCAGCAAAGATACTTATTGAGATAACTTATACCTTTAGCAAAACTGCAAGCTCCAAAATAATCCTCAAAAGTCACCAACATTTTTATATAATAATAACAGAAGAAGCAATAATAGAAAGGGAAATTCCATTTCAAATAACTACAAAATGCATAAAATATCTGGGACTCATCCTCTCAAAGCACATCAAAGGCTTGTATAGATTCAATTACAAAGTACTCCTTAAAGAAATAAAGAGCAATTTAAATAGCCAGAGGAATATTCAGTGATCATGGCTAGGCCTTACCAATATAATAAAAATGACAATACTACAAAAATTAATTTATACTTTTAATGCTATACTAAATCACCAAGATACTTTATAGAACTTCACAAAACAATAAAATTCACTTGGAAAAACAAAAGATCTAGAATAGACAATCAAAGGAAATGACAAAAGTAGGGATGAAGGGGGAAAGCACTTTAAGACCTCATATTATATTATAGAGCAGCAATCATCAAAACCACCTGGTATTGATTAGGAAAACAATTTGTTTTGTTATGTTTTGTTTTGTTTTGCTAGGCAATGGAGTTAAGTGACTTGCCCAGGGTCACAGAGCTAGTGAGTGTTATGTGTCTGAGGTCAGATTTGAATTCAGGTCTCCCTGCCTCCAGGGCCAGTGCTCTATCCACTATACCACCTAGCTGCCCCTTAGGAAAACAATTTGACAGAAATTAGGCTTGGACCAATAACCTACACAATATTCCACAATAGATTATATATAGATATGCAACCTAAATATCATATTAAAAAATTAGAAGAGAAAGAGCACAGATATGGGTAGAAGTTGTGAATGAAACAACAGATGAGAGGCAATTTCAAAAGATAAAATATAACTTTTACAACTTGAAACTGAAAAACTTCTGCACAGACAGAATTAACACACCTAGAATAAGAAGTATTTACAATCACATGAAAGAATGCTTTAAATCACCAATAATGAATGCAAATCAAGATAACCCTGAGGTTCCCCCTCACTCTGAAAATTGTCAAAAATGACCAAAAAGGGCAACAGTCAATGATGAAAAGGCTTTGGAAGAGTAGCCACACTAATTACATTGCTAGTGCAGCTGTGAAATGGTACCATTATTTTGGAAAGCAATTTGGAATTGTGCAAATAAAGTGAGTAAAATGACCATACTCCTTGTACAGCCTCCATTACTGGGCTAGAAACCCAAGGAAGCCACCTATAAGAAGAAAGTCCCCATTTACACTAAAATTTTTAGAAGTAACACTTTTTGTAACAGTTAAGAATTGAAAACAAAGTAGATGCCCATCAACTGGGGAATGGCTAAACAAATTTGTGTTCCATGTACATAATGGAATATTACTGTGCTATAAGAAATGATGTATGTGGGCAGCTAGGTGGCACAGTGGATAGAGATCTGGCCTTGGAGTCAAGAGGACATGAGTCCAAATTCGGCCTCAGACACGACACTTACTAGCTTTGTGACCCTGAAGAAGTCACTTAACCCTGATTGCCTCACCAAAAAGCAAAAACAAAACAAAAAGAAATGATGGAAAGATCTATGGGAACTGATGCAAAGTGAACTAAGTAGAGCCAAGAAAACAATATACAAGTAACTAAAACAGTGTGAATAGAAAAAAACAATGACACAAAAAAATCAAAAGTAAATGTAACAAAATTATAATTCTCAAGCAGGACTCAAATAAAGAAATATGAGAGAATATCCCCAACCCAATCCTTTGTGGAGGAGGGAGGTCAGCAGGTATTACACATTGCACATTTGGATTTTTTTCAATGAACTGATCAGTTGTGCTGATGTTTTTCCTCTCTAAAAAATACTATTTGTTTTGTGGGATGACTCTCTAAGAAGTGACAGAGGGAGATGAATACTTGGAATAACCGATGATATAAGAAACTGAAAATATCAATAAAAACTTATTTTAAAAAAGAAAACACAACCCAGAAAGCAGACACTTCTGCTGTGTCTCCTTTAATTACTAAAATTCTGCCACCATGATCCTGTTTTGCTTCAATTCTTTCTTCAGAAAAATATCTGGGAAAATATACATTTACAGAAATACGTCTATTATCACTTCATATAGGCCCTTCCATATTTTGTTTATGCTTCAAATTAAAAGTTTAAATTATGTTAATATATAAATTTAGTTAAGCATTATTCAATATTTTGCTATTATAGCCTAGTGGTTTTTCTTTCAACAACAAAAAAAGTTATTTTATGACATTTTTGACACAGAATGTTAGCAATAAAATTGCTGGGTCAAAAGGTATGATCAGTCTGGGGATCCTTTATTACATATTACCATATTGTCTGTAACATTTACACCAGTCAAAGTCCACCAATGCCTGCTTTGCCAAAGCCCCAAGAACATGAAACTGTAATTTTAAAAACGTATCTCCATTATAGTAGAAATAAAAATGTGGTGTTTCTTACAGTTGTCTTGATTTTATGATTCTTACGATTATTATGGAACTTGAGCACTATTTCATATAGTTAACAGTTTATATTTCCTTCTTTGGTCGTGTCTTTTGATCATTGCTGCACTGGGAGCAATTTTATAATTATGTGCCTGTTCTTCATGGATTCCGGATGTTGGACCTATGATTTCATTGTGATAGGGAACTTCTGATCAAGAAACTTTCTTTACCAATGCAGAGCAGCAAATATTCTACAATTATAGAATTCTACAATATACAATAACTATGCTTACAGAGCTACCTAGTGCATGAAGAGGGTAAGTCATTTGCCCAGGGTCATACAGCCAACGTATTAAAGGCAGAACTTGAAGTTGCTTCTTGACTCTCTGAAGTCCAACTCTCTATTCCCTATGCCACACTGATTTTACCCAATGAATTTACTGCAAGCTTTCTTTCCAATGTCTCTTTTCTTTTCACTTAGACATGACGTTTTTGTTGTACAATTTCATCTCCAATGAGTTCTTCCTTTTAGTTTGATAAAAAAGAATCCCTCTTTTTTATAGTCGTAGTATTTCTTTTTATACATGGTATTTAATTTTTTCCCTCAAATTTAGATCACTGCTCTGATTAAGAGTTTGTTATGGTATGTATCTAAACCCCTTTTTTGGTTGTATAGCTATCCAGTTTTTTCAGATTTTATTGAGTAGTATTTGAAGGCTGAGACTATGTTACTTTAGCCTTTGTATTTCAATGCTTTGCACACAATAGGTACTAAATAAATATTTGTCAAACTGAATGAATTCTATTCCTAAGTGAGTTTGTCAAACATTTACTTCATAATCATTGGGTTCCTGATTCCCTTGATCTATTTCTCTATTCTTTTCCCCTTATACTTCTTGAATCTCTGGATACTACACTATAATCTCCAAAGAACTGAAGTTGAAGATCACTCAAAGGGCAATTGGAGGAACACATATGTGGACCAAAAGCTACAACATTACATGTGAAATTACATAAGAAAATGTGCCCAGAAAGAAAAAAGATGAGCTAGTTATATAGCGAGAAAAAGAGAAAACCAATTGAAGTCCCCAGGTTCCATCATTATCCACAAAAAATCAAGAGAATTTGATATGAGTTGTAATTAGCATCAATGGAGGAAAAAAACAACAAAAATACAAATCTCCTTGAAAATTCCTGATAGTCTTAAAATTTGTATGGAAAAATGAATGCATATAGATTTATCTAATTCTATGAAATAACTGATTTGCATGGCATTAAATATCAAAGTTAGTTTGGGAAGGAATTACCATTTTTACCACATTTGTTTGACCTAACCATAAGCAGAAAATGTTCTTATATGACTTCTGTCAAAATAATTTTGAAGCTATCTCCATGGAAGTTTCCTCTATGTCTCTCTAAGTTAACACCTTCATATTTAATATACTCTTATCATCGTAAGTGTATTTCTCTATCATTTTGCTTACGATGAAACTGAGGTTCAGGAAAGTTAAGTAATCTGCAAGTCTCCAAGTGGCCTCAGGCAAAGTGACACAAATGAGGTTAGAACCTAGGTTATCTTATTCCTACTCAACATACTTTTTGTATTTGCATTAGTATATGTATTGTGATAACTACATATCCTCTTAAGCTGAAATTAAGTTCTAATATGAAATAAAAAAGTTTTTCAAATCAATACAGAATTTTCTTTATTTTCAACATTTAAGTTCAGATCCTAGCAATTATATATTTATAATAATGATAAACTATGAAATAGTTGAGACACCTCTAACAAGGCATACAGATTATATGGATATGCTCAAAAATAAACTACAAATATTTTGAAAAATTTAAGGGCTATGAATCAAGATGAAAAGCAGAAGAAAACTAAACAAGATGTAAAATAATATCACCACATACAGATCTAAGTTATATTCTAATTTCAATTTTATTCTTACCTTCAGTAATTTAGTAGCAAGTTTCAAAACATTATTCACTAGTGTCAGTTCCTCCTTCTTATTAGGTTTCTTCTCCATTTTCAAGTACAGGTTTATCTAACAAAATGGATCAATTGAAAACCACTTAATATAACAACATTTTTCTTAAAAAAAGGTAAAATCATAAACCAATTTTAAAATAAGTCTACTTTAGTCATAGAACCGTATATGGTGAAAAAATAAAGTTTCACTGGAAGCAAATTCAATAAACTAGTTTGGGTTTTCTGACTTAGAAATATGTTTCATAAATGTAGATATGAAATTCATCTTCAGTAACCCATCAAGAAAAAGGAGCCATTCTTTATGATACAATATGGCAGAATGGGCATCAGCTTGGCAGTCAGAAGACCATGGATCGAGTACCTGCTATACCACATACTAGTCATATAATTTGGGGCAAAGTGTTTAATCACTCTGAGCTTTTGTTTCTTCCCCTATAAAATGAAAATAAAATGCCTGTGTTACCTAATTCAGAGGGTTGTAGTGAATATTAAATGAGACAAGTGTCATTCATATACAGTAGATGTAACATTTAGATGAGCTTTTTAAGATAAAATTTTTCCTCAAATTTCAAGTTTTGTATCACTTATGAAAATTTGACAAAAATTTACAAGAGATTAATGGATACTAAATATAACCATCAAAAGCTATTAAGTTTTAATACAAGCAAGTTATTGTTTAATGAAAATTATTATTTGCTAGAATGTTTGTTCTATTCTTCTACATAACACATGTGCCCTTATAATTTCTTTTTTTTTTCTTTTTTGGTGAGGCAGTTGGGGTTAAAAGACTTGTCCAAAGTCACATAGCTAGTGAGAGTTATGTGTCTGAGGCTGGATTTGAACTAAGGACCTCCTGACTCCAGGGTCGGTGCTCTATCCACTGTGCCACCTAGCTGTCCCGCCCCTGAAGTTTCTTAAAAACAAGAGTATGAGATGTTTCCTTCTCTAAACAAATGGAAAGCTAAGAAAAAAGATATAGTCTAAATAGAATAAGCAATGGTGTGCTTTACTAAGCAATCAGAATGAAACAGTTTTTCTACAGCATTAAAGTTGCTCTGAAAATAAATACATAATAACTTCTATTATCTGCTCTTTGAAAAACCTGAAGTGACTAGTGAATTGTAGACACTAATTTATAACATATTAAATATGAGGTCTCACCTGTTCAGTAAGTAATATTGAGGTATTGCTATATTTTTTGCTTGTTTCAGATCCAAGGGTAACAAATCTTAGAAGAAAAAGTGTTAAAGAGATACACCAGATCACCAGTTCCCAGTTGTAGTGACAATCAAGGAAGATCTCATGCACATGAAGCAACTAAAATCCAAAGGCAAAGGAAACACAGAGGAAGAATTAATTGTGATTCAAATTAATATCTTTTACTGTAAGGAAAATAATGAATTCTAGTTTAATAGGAATGAGACGCTAGTTTCTTTGGCATCTATGTGAACATTCATGCATAATCTCTGTATCTCTTTGCTAGTTATTAGTTTCCTGCAATTAAGTTTGACTAAGGATAGATTTGGAGTGATGGGACCTGGGTCCAAATTCTGGCTCTGCAACTTACTAGCTGTGTGACTTTGAGTAAGACATTTCCCCTTTCTGGGCCTCAATTTCTTCTTCTGTAAAATAAGAGAGTTGGACTAGATGATCTCTACGGTCTTCTTCCAGCTCTAAATCCTATGATCCTATGAACATTACAAAATTGTGTACATTATACACACTTTTTTTTAAACATGCTTGCTAAATTTAATATTCTATACTCATCAATTGTGGCATTTGTATATGAAACACTTAAAGAATTTAAGATGCTAATACAAAACATAGTGTTTATTACTAATTTATCTTCTCCAAAGTAGAAATAAGTACATGAAAACCTCATTAGAATGCTCTCTACTTTAGAATGAGGTCCTTTCGGACAAGGCTTAAAATAGTTTTTAGACTAAATTTTATTTCTCAGGCAAAATGTTAAACTGAAGTTTTAATGTATGTTAAAGAATATTTTTAAAAACACTAATTATACCATATTCTCTCAACTTGCTTTTTTAAAAAATGTTTTAAATATAAATTTTACCTCTGTACTTTCAAAAGAACTTAAATGAATGACAACTCCAGTGAATTTCACTACATCTTTCATTATATGTTGTCTACAAAAAAAAATCACCATGATAATATAAAAAGGATATATTTCATTTACATACTTCTTTACTGTAAAATATGTGACCTGTGGTAGAAATAATACGGAGGTACAGAAATGCATTTATGAACAGTAGATAAGGGGTGGCAGTTACAATATATTAAATACCAAATAAAATAATACTACATCTATCATAGAACAATATATTCACCTTAAATTTGGGAGATGTGGCTGACCTGTACTTAGTATCAAGCAATACAACTTGTACAGGAAAGAATAGATCCTTCCCAGAGGAAAAAGCTGGGGAGAGGAGGGAAGAGAGGTAGGAAGGGCCCACCAATACATTAATTTATATTACCTAAAATACATTATGTAGACATGCTAGAATTTTTCATTTTTCCATCATATTTACTATTTCACCTAGAAAATGTTTTGAAAGGGAACACACTGATTCTTTAATGCATATAGTTATTTATACAGAACAAAGTAACTCACCTGGGCACAGCAGATAAACACAACCGAAATAGTCAACAAGAATGCAGATGAAACTATTACATCAACTGATCTCTGAGGACCTCGACGCTGAAAGAAAGGAAAATGATATCTTAAAAATACATATACCCATTAACAGTTTTACATTGACTGTAGTTTACAGTGTTGCCCAAATGCCTCAATAAATATCAATTACTTAATGGGATTATTTTCTAGGGATATGTAACAGCACCAAAAAAACAAAGTTTATACAGTATAGGATTCTTAGTATACCTTTTAAACTTTAATTGACATTGCTGAACAAAGGGCTCTGTTCTGATTATGCTGAGTAGAGTTATCAATCCTGAGTACTTCCAGAAGTAATACATTATAACAACTAGCAACACAACCCAAAAACTTTTTACTGAAGGAAACGTGAATTTATAACCTAACATTGGCTAGTGGGCATGAGAGGGGCATAATGGGGAAGAACTTGCTGAAGTCTTGTCACAAAGTCATATTTCTACAGCAGGCATAACACAAGGTGTTTGGAAACCACTTTGCAGCATGCAATAGGAACAACTTCAGTTTGTATGCACACCCTCAACAAATTCAAAAGAATTTGAACTGTGAGGTATTAGAATTAGAAGAGAGGGTAGTAAGCTGCATAACTGTTGCTCACAGCCAGTGGTAGAGAGAAGTCTCCTCACCAGTAGTTCCCTACATCAAAAAAAAAAAAAAAAAAAAAAAAAAAATCACAGGTCCAGTAGAAAGAGATAAAGACAAGTACAAGGCTAATGTTTTTATGCTGTTTGCTGTGACCACAACACATAAAGCAAGAGAATTCTAGGTGTGTCTAAGGACCTCTACTTGTTGGATCAGCTTTATTAAGAAAAATACTAGTAGTCTTTTAAGTAAAGTTTTCAAGGATATTTTAAATAAATATGAAGATAGAAACTGGACCTGTGATTCATTGGTACAGGAAACTCCTAGATAAGAAAACTTTCCTCTATCAATGCTAATTCTTCTCTGAAACTTATAGCCTTAGAGCTGCCTAGAGCAGAGGTGTGAAGCATGCAGCCTGAACCAGATTATGTAATTAGAAAATATTTAACAAAATAAATTAAAATACAATGAAATAGAGATAATATTACATTTTAAAATTAATTCAGTAAGCGGGCCCCAGGGATATTTAGGTATGATTCAGTGGCTCCTGTTTCTGTTTGAGTGACACTGCTGGCCTTTACAGGACTGAGAGGTTGTGATCTCCCCAGAGTCACAAAGCCAGTAAGTGTTAGTAATGGGACTTAAATCTAGGTCTTCCTGACTTCCAGGACAGCTTTCTATCCTCTATGATATTTCTATGAAGTAGAAAATATGGCTCTTATTGTAGACGTACAATACCTTTAGAATGGGTACTTTGCTAGAGGTAATTCAAATACCTCTAATTTTTTTCAGGAACTTGAGTAATTTTGGAAGAAAATTCTTAAAAGGGAGGAAAAGTGCACCAAAAAGGATTTAGGCAGGCCAACTGACATTCTAAACTGCCTACTTATTTAAAATAGTGAGATTTTAAAATAGTGAGTTACTTTATTTTAAGTAAAATGATCCTGTAGTCACATACTGCTTTTATTGAGCCTTTTTTAAGGAGTGGGCTCCCTCTTCTGGCTTATGATAGCTGTGCTATGAAAATAAAAAGATTTTTTCTTCTTGTTGGGACCCTAAGCAACTCACAAACAAAATAAAGGTCTTGAGGATCTTATTACCTGATGGATTGTGAGGTTCAGATAAGATTACATAAAGGAATTAAAAAAATTAAAACACCAAATAAACATACATTATTATAGTATATAATAATAATAATATTTATATATTTATACATATATGTATATAGTTATATAGTTAGGCTTTTTCAGCTAGCCTTGAAATTCTAAGTATTACGGGCAAAAAATAATCCATGAAACACATTTCTCTTAGCTATCTGGATACAGAATATACAGAGGATATTACGACTAGTGGCATGCTCACATGGCAAGGTATGTGTGTATACCTGGATAGAGATGTATTAAGAGTATTAGAATCATAGATAGCCAGCTCGCAAAAGTCATGTCATCACAGCCATTATACCTTAAGATAGGAACGAAGAGATAGCCACATTTTTATATTCTGCACTTTCTTCAATCGGAAATGGGGAACTTCTGATTTTCGAGCCCTCCTAGCAGATGTTAAATGTCCAAAGAGTTTTGCAAAAAGTAGTCTCTACAAAACATCACCATGTTGTTTGTCAAGCAAAATACCACAAGGAAAAATAACAATAGTCAAAATATAGGTTATTACTATCGTCTCCTATGATTAAGTACTATAATTCAACAAGACAAGAAAATAATAATACATCACCGAAACCATGGGGATATGCCTTCCATTGGTACAAACTGCAATTTATTCATACTTTTTAATCCTCTGTGATTTTTCCCAAGATACCCCACAGATTCTCCCTAGAAAACCTATCCAACATGCTGTAGTGCCTACTGAAATTCTTTTACTTTTCATGAAAACCACTATGACACTTGAGCTGTCCAATCCTTGACTATCACTCATTCGTACTCCTTTCCAGACATGAATTTTTTTGTAATATAGTCAAATACATCACTTTCTCAGGATACATCATTTCTGGATATTTGTAACAGCTTCTTACAAATACTACATGCCTTTTGACTTTCTTTTGGGTCAAACTGGATTCTTCATAAGATTATGATGTCCCAAGCTTGGCAATAAGAGAATATCACAAGGAGACATTTGTGTTTTAAAAAAAATGGGTTGTATAATATTATTGTGAAGACCTGGGCAGTTTCCCTAATGTAATCTAGTTCATTCTTTCTCTCCTATTCAATGTTGGTCCTAGCTAACCATCCTCAGTGTCTGTCCCAGATACAGACGTTAGAGACATATACTAATGTCACTGGACTACCCATCCAATGAGGCATAATCTAGAAGACTGTAATAGTTTTTCATCCAATAGTTTCCCCTGTATGAGCTGTAAAGGTTTGTCTTTCTTGGGTATTTGTATAACTCAATGAAAACACTATGTAACATTTCCAGAGCTTGAGGCAACTAATCCTTATGCAGGAACCTTATGTGGAGGACCTCCTCATTCATAATAGGTAATCCTTCTTTCATTTACATCCTGTACAGGACAGTGACATTTTCCATGACATAGATAAATACCTTTGGCAGACATACATCTCCCTGTTTTGTTTTCAAAGATTGAGTGTCCCTATCTTGCCTAGGCTAGAAGTTCAGGGATTACGCACAAGCCTAGTCCCACTCTGATCTGCAGAGAACCTCTGACCTACTGTTTCCAACCTGGGCCAGTTCATTCTTCTTTAGGCCACATTGTGGCCCCCTATTTCTACTCACGTGGGGGTTCTCCATGTGAACGCCAACTTTGGTGTGAACACCCAATTAGCTTAGTCCACTGCAGCTCAGAACTCCTGAGTTCTACCAATCCACCAGGCTCAGCTTTCTGGCAGCTAAAATTACAGGTGTGTAAAATTATGCCTTGTTTTTATGTCTCACTTAACATTAGTTGAGGAGAGTCACTGGAATTTTTCATGTGGTTGCAATTATTAAGGAATCCTGTATTACTTAACACAAAACTTATTCTTGGAGGGGAGCTTTTAATAATTGCATTTTAACTCTGTAGGGCCCAAATGGTTTCTGTAATCAAACAATAACTATAGTAGGCTCTTGTATTCTTTGCACCTTTCACCAAAAGATGTTACTATATTATATAGAGGCAGTTTGATAGAGAAAATGTTTTGTGAAATGCTCCCTGTTCTTCCCTCATACTTTCAACAAGGATGTCTCAATGACACATATAAATCATTTTTCCCTACTTACTCCCCCCAACTATGTATTCTTGTGCTCTCAAGTACCTAAGTCTCTTACTAGCTGCATATAAATTGCCTATCTCTATCAATAAAGGAAATACCCATACTGAAGAGAGTCAGTATCAAATAAAATCACAGATCTAGACCAAAAAATTTTTTATGAGTATATTCATATATCAAATGCTTCAAAAAGTCCTTCGTGCTTCCTTAGATGAGAAGCCTACATCAGACTCACCTGTTTGTAAGTTCTTTCTGCTACACAGAGCAAAAAGAAGAAAATCCACACAAGAGATACACGAACCACAAAACTTATTAAAACCATAGAAAGAACCAAGATGTCTTCATTAGAACCAAATGCAATGATATAAAGTTCTGAAGCAGAATATGCTGTGAGCTGTTCCAAGTCTGTAGCTTGGGAAAGCCGGAAAACAAACGGAGTGAAACCCAGGACAAGGGAAATCACATTTGCAAAAATCTGGTATCCTATGCCTGGTATGTAGCTGTTGACCTAAGGGGGAAAAAAAGTATTATTTATGCCAAAATGCTAGCTATGTCAAAATAATTTTATATTAGGAATTACTTTATTTATAGCAATATGAAATTATTTTAGATGTTGTCAGACTATGGTATACAATGTAATATATTAAAGTTGTAATCTTTAAGTTTTTTTAATTAGGTTCACTATGAGAAATGGAGTTGACTAAAAACAAAAATAGTAGCCAGTATTTCTATTGCACTTCAAGGTTGTAAAGCATTTAATAAATACCTCATTTTAACTTTAATTTTATAATATTCAAGTCTTCCTCTCATACCCTTTCCATTTTATGGTCCTCAAAGAAATATGACACTCTTCAAAGGCCCCACATACCTAACCACACCATTGAGTGCAAATGGCTACTTCTCTCACGAGGCCAATGTACTGGGCCCAACAAATGCACTTATCCTCCTTGCTTCTTTCTCAATTTAACCACTCCCTTTCTAAGGCTCATTCCATTCATCTGTATTACTGTTTAGATCTTGGTTTTAATCTATTGGTCTCCTTTGTTGTAATCTACTAGGGGCGGCTAGGTGGCACAGTGGAAAAAAGTGCTGAGCTTGAGTCAGGAAGATTTATCTTCCTAAATTCAAATTTGGCTTCAAGCACTTTCAAGCTGTGTGACCCTAGGCATGTCACTTAATCCTGTTTGCTTCAGTTTTCTAATCTGTAAAATGAAGGAAATGCCAAATCATTCCAGTACCTTTGCCAAGGAAACGCAAAATGGGGTCATGAAGAGTCAGACACAACTGAAAAACCACTGAATGACAACAAAAACTGGCCTCCAGGTTACTCTTCCACCTTTTGGTACCTGACTCAAAATCTTCCTCTCCAAATCCTGCCCTCACACTTGGGGACTTCAACATACAAACTTATATAAATTATACAAACTTTACTCTACTTGCCATCCAGGTCATATTGCTCAGCCACCCATGAGGAAGGTCACACCTTGGATCTTATCATTACTATGATAACTATGCCACCTCCATGACTGTGAACTCTGAAACTCCTCTTGTTATTTTCTCAGTTCATCATGCCTGCTATGGCCTCACTTTTTTCATTTGGTATTTTTACCCTACAGTTGACTAGTTGAAATAAAAATTGACACCTTAGTCCTATTCATGCTCTGCCAATCCTAAACCTTGGATTACCAATTACTATCGGCTTTCTCTGTGATGATTTTCATGGGAGAGGGCATGGTGCAGTGGAAATAACACTGAATTTAGAGTCACAGGACCTGGGTTTAAACCCCAGATGTGCTACTTACTACTTCCATAGTCACTCTCCTTCTCTATAAATCCCCTAGTGCCTTCTGGATATCATATAAGCCCTTGTTTTGTGGAAGAGGAATGGTGGTAGGGGGAGGTGTTTATACTGTTAACACTTTTGATTACCTCTAGAATCTCAGAGTTGAAAGGGACATCAGGGGCAATATAGTACACCCCACAAAGCTTAGTTCAAGAACAATCTCTCTTCCCTTGAATACCTTCCCCACCTTTTAATATTCTTCCTACTCCTGTTACCATGTATTGATTTGTGTCTGACTATGTTATATCTTCTCTTCCCCCAGAAAGATGTAAGCTTTTTGAGGACAATGACTATCTTTTCTTGTGTTTGTACCCCAAGTACAGTGCCTTGCACATTGTAGGTATTTTATAAATATTTATTGAATTGAATAGAATCCAAGAGTATAGAGATTCCTTTGAGGTTCTCTCCTATCCATAGCAGTTAAATTCAATAACAATTTAAAAAATCTTAACTGGGCATTTACTATGTATGCGACACAGTACAAAGTACTGTGGGCACAAGGAGCTAAAAGATGGTAGTACTTCTCCTTAAAGTATCCAATGCCCTATTTGGGAAACTTTCGAATGTTTATCTCCTTACCTAGTAAGACTCCTTAAATATTAAAATCCAATTTTAAGATGGTAAAATATATCAATGGAAGAATAAAAGCAGTGATAAAGTTGAATGAAAGGAGGTAAAAAATAAGTAAGGAGGGGTTAAACACTAGTCAATTTTGCAACATCAGATGAGAACAGGCAAAGTTCCAAAGCAAGCAATTCTAATCCCTGTTCCACAAAAGTGATATAATTAAAGACAAGTTACAATGTTCCATAAAGACTTCAACTTCACAAACTAGAATATGCTCCACCCCAAAGAAATTAGGTCAAAACTGAAATAAATCATGATCTGGTAATGGAAACATATAAATAAAAATTTAAGACCCACAGTGTAAGTATCATATTTCTTCAAAGTACTTAAGGTATCTAGAATGAGCTACTCTACTGCTATGATATTAGTACCTGGTACTATATACCTATAATAACCTCTAAGTATTGGGGAGATAAAAATTTCAGAAACTAGCAGGTGATCAATGAATAAACACCTTCTGCATGCAAAATTTTAGATTTCTGAAACCTTCAGCAAGACACCTGAATTAAAACACTAATAGGAAAGCTGTGGCTTTGTTACAAATTACTCTGACTGATATAAAATAGGCAGAAAAAAACCTATCAAAGGCATTTTTGACTTGAAGAAATAGGGTGAGTTTCTAAAGAAAATATCTAACATACTATTTAAAGAAATCCATAATTATTATCTTTTATATTTTATATATAATAATTATATCTATCTCTAATTTATAATTATCAGATAAACTTACATACAACTGATTAATAACTAATTAATATCTACATCATAGCTATTAATTTATAAATTAGAATAAATACTGCAAAGTTAGCATAGTGCTTGGCACATAGTAAGCACTTAATAAATGTTCTCTCATTCATTTTCATTCAAATGAGAATACACGAAAAACACTCACTCGGTTCATAATCATCCCACTGATTTCAAGCACAGACATTTCAGCTTTCTTGCAGTCATTACCTTCCCATACAATTGCACTGACTTTTTCTAATCCTGGGTTGGAGCTGTGGAGCCAGGGCAAATGACTCTGAGAAAAAAAAAAATTGTATAAGTGAAATTTTAAACGAAAACATCCAACAGTTTAACTCCAGAACAAAAATAATGACTAAGATTTTTGACAGACATATCTATAATAGATGACACAAAAATATTAAAAGTACAAAGTTACAAAAATTTGTCAGCTGCACATAGTTAAGAAACTTTTCTATACTAAAAAAATTACAAAATTTACTCTCAGATGCATAGTGAAACTCGCCATTAAGAAGTGATTAACTGAAAATCTAACATTATGTCTACATATTTAGGTGGAAGTTCAAACTAGTATGTATAAGTGAAATGAACATTATTGAACTCATTAGGACCTTCAAAAACATTCAATTTTAATAATAATAATGATAATGATAATAAATAGCTAACATTTATGTAGCACTTAATATGTGCCAGGCACTGTACTATGTGCTTTACAATCACTATCTTACTTGATCCTCACAACAACCCTGGGAAGTAGGTGCTATTATTATCTCCATTTTATAGATAAAAGAAAACAGAAGCCAAGTGACTTGCCCAGGGTAACAAAGCTAATAAATGATTAAGATCACATTTGAATTCAGGTCTTTCTGATTTCCAGGCCCAGCACTCCATCCACTGCACCACCTAACTGGTAAATTAGACAAAAATCTGAAGGAATCTTGCCAATATGAGATATTTAACAGTTATGATAGTAAGAGAAAAGGGTATTAAATGAGAGTTTTAGTACTACTAAAAGCAAAACACTGTTGTTCATGAGTCGTTTCAGTTGTATACAACTCTTCATGACCCCATCTGGAGTTTTCTTGGCAAAGATACTGGAGTGGTTTGTCATTTCATTTTACACATGAGGAAACTAAGGCAAACAGGGTTAAATGACTTGCCCTGGGTCAAACAGCTAGTGAGTGTCTAAGGCCAGATTTGAACTCATTAAAATGAGTCTTCCTGCCTCCAAGCTAGGACTCCAAGTGCTCTATCCACAGCTTCACCTAGCTGCCTCTAAAAGCAAGATACCCTATCATTATTTGTAAGCCATATCCAAAAGAAAGGAAACTATTGACCTCTGCGGACAGCACAATAAAGAAGTGAGGTTGTAAAATACAGATAAACAAGAATTCTTGATTTACCCTGAAAAAAGGACAAGGATAAAGGGTTGTATATTGTGATAGAGCAATTATACATACCATTATTATTTATCTATAGACAACTTATATGTACAGGATATGCATCTCAAATCTTTAATATTTATATTTATTATCTAATGTTATTTAAGCAAATGACAGAATTTGTAACATCCTTGAGAAGCAAAGATCATGGAAACTTAGAAATAGGAAGAAACTCAAAGGTGACAGGAATTGCCTTTACAATATCTCGATAGCATAGTTTTCAAATTTTAGTATATTATATTTGGTTACATAACTAAGTTCTTTTTTTTTTTGTTTTTGGTTAGGCAATGGGGTTAAGTGATTTGCCCAGGGTCACACAGCTAGTAAGTGTTATGTGTTTGAGGCCGCATTTGAACTCAGCTCCTCCTGAATCCAGGGCCAGTGCTCTTCCGACTGTACCATCTGGCTGCCCCCATAACTAAGTTCTAACCACAAACTGCAATAGTTCAGTATTATTAAAATATGGCTATAATGTGCTCTTTAAAATACAATAATTCAGGATTTGTGCATGGCCTGAAGGGATTATAACAAAATATTTCAAAGACTTAAGGAATCTACTATTTGCCTCTAGGGGAAATAAAATTACAGTGATATTTTTCAATGAAAATATAAAATGATAATTAAGCTATAGAAAAAATAGTTCCAGGAGATCAACATGCTATCCCTTATCTACATTATGAAATCTATCAAATATATTTTCTTCCTGGAAAGCAATACTAAGGTAACTCACAAAAGTTAATAAATAACAAAAACCTAAGACAAAATATGACATCTATATACATAAAATCATTTTTCATTACAATAATAATGATTATGTCTTATTTATTGCTAAAACTCTTATATTTTATCATTTGGTTGACAAGTGTCACAGTAAAGTTCCACTCCAGAAGCAATTTCTTTTTAAAAAGTCAGAATTTTGAAAGAGTCATTGAAGTATTTTTTTAAAAAAGAGATGGTGAAAAAAGGCAGTTAAAAGTGTATGTAAATGGCAGGAACAATATTTCACTGTGAATGCATAGGTTCCTTTATTTCATTATCACCCTCTGGGGGAAATAAGCAGAAGACAGCCAGAAGTTCAAGACCTGTAATAATAATAATACCTTGTACTCATACAGTACTTAAGAACTTTAAAAGATCCAACAAGGTATCCCAGCAATAATAGGAAGCTGCCTCTGAAGTTCAAAGTAACAACTTGAGCAGTTTCTGAACTCTGAGGTTGTTTATATTACAGTTCTAAGAGACCTGCTTTTACACAGAACACTTCAGGGACCTTCCCTCAAGTACTCTAAGCAGTATTCTGCCCCACTCTTAGATTCTCCACTTGAAAAATAATACTTTAGAAGTCAAACATTGTTACAGTGTGAAGTAACATTAGAGATCATCTACTCCAAGTCTTTCATTTTGTAGATAAGAAAATTGAGCCTCAGAGAGGTTAAGTGGCTTGCTAAAAGTCAAATATGCTAATCAATAGCAGAATGGAGACTAGAACATAGATCTCTTGACTCCTAGAGTTGAATACTATTTTTACAAGCCCACACTATCTTCCTTTGCTCCCTAGAGATCTATGACTATCTCTTCTCCAAGAAAATGGAGAAGTGAGGGATGAAAAAGGTGAGCCAAAGAAGGGTTGAAAGAGATAATAGTAAATTAAAATGATTACATAGAAATACTTCATGCATATAATAAAAATATCCTTGTTGAACCATACATAGGCCAATATGTAGAAAGAATGAAATACTACTTTTCCCCTGAAAGTCAAAGAAAATGTCAGTAGATCCCCAAATGAGTTTCTTTAATAATTGTCTTACAGTTCCTCCCTAATACATTTTTCAAAATAAAGTTTGAAACTGTTTTAATGACTTCTCTCTTAGCAAAATTCCCAACAGTTGGGGCTTCTTATTAACATTAAAATGCTTAAAATCTTTAAAATCTAAATAACAGTAAAACAATGCAAACAAACCCATAGTGACCAACAGCATTGCAAAAGAAGGAATGATAGTCATCAAAATCCTCCACGCACAGAAGAATACCATTACAACAGTATTATGTTCAACTATAGTTCTGTGTTACATGACGAAAAGAGAAAATACAAAGTTTACTTGTGGATTAATGCCACAGTTATTCTTGGGCTTTAAAAGAGAAATATGAAGAACATACTGCAACCTAGAAATTTGATATAGGAGAAGTCTGATCACATTATTTAAATATTTCCTTCCTTCTTCGGCACAATGTCTTCCTCTGCCTTCTATGGTAACAGGAAAAAATTCCTTTACAAGTTCAGTCATTTCAGTTGTGTCTGACTCTTCATGATCCTATTTGGGGATTTCTTGGCAAAGATACTGGAGTATCTTAATACTCAATAGCCAAAAGGGAAATACTAGTTATAGAACTGAGAACTATTTAAACTGGTCATGTTGCCATGTCACAGTTAATGGTATAACTAACAATTTTCTTTGAACAAAAGATATTTGGAAGCTTTTATATTTGGACCTATGCTTTTGTCTGATTTTTTTTGCTTTTCCTCAGTTAGCCCATCTCTTGTCTTCTCCAATTACACAATTACACAATTTATATTTTCTTCTCCAGCTCATTTTACAGATGAGGAAACTGAATCAAACGGGATTAAGTATCTTGCCCAGGGTCACATGGCTAAAAAGCATCTGAAGCAGGATTTATTTGAACTTAGATCTTCTTGACTCCAGGCCAGGTGCTCTATCCACTGCGTCACTTAGCTGCCCTGCTTTTGGGACCAATTTTTCACAGAAGAATAAGAAAACTGGAGAACTCTTTTATGTTAAGGGTTGAATGGGGAATGTACCACATGTAAAAACAATTTATTTTCAATAATATTTGCTTTCAATTATTATTCACTAAACAAAACTACTTTTCCAGATAATTTTAACATGAGAAAATGTATAATTTTGTTTTTAAATTTCTTGGGAAAATCACACTTTTATAAATTAAAGTCCAAATTATTTTCCTATAATATTTATTCTCTAATTGTAACCATGTTTCTGTATGAACATTAAGATATTTTTACAGAAATATTCTCTCTAAAGAATGTTGAAAATTGTAAATCTAAACCCTCAAACTTGTGGCAACAAGCCTCAATAGCCAAAAGGGATATACTAGCTATAGAGCTGAGAACTGTTTAAACCGGTCATGTTGCCACGTCACAGTTAATGGTATAACTAATAATTTTCTTTGAACAAAGGATATTTGGAAGCTTTTATATTTGGACCTATGCTTTTGTCTGATTTTTTTTTGCTTTTCCTCAGTTAGCCCATCTCTTGCCTTCTCCAATTACACAACTCACTAGTTATAATGAATTAGTAAATGTATCATTACAAAACAATTTTATTTCTCCTAGCAGCTTCAATATGTTATTCAACAGAGTAACTACACATTCTTTTTTAAAACTCTGAAGTTACTGAATAATGATCATGATGTTGGATTTAAAAATAACTCTACATATTAGTAAAGTTATCAAAAGATAGAAACACCAAAATTTATATTTAAAAATGTTGGTCAAGGTCATTGGTCAAGGTCTTGCAGCCAAGATGACCGCTTGAAAAGAGGCAGGCAACTTAGCTCCCACACACCTTCTACAAGAAAAACCTGAAAATCACTCCAGACAGAACAATGACCAAAAATCCAATGAGAAATTACAGTAAGTAACTTCTCCCACCCAAGAACTACATAAAAAGTCAGCCAGAATGTCATGGCAAGGGGCAAGTAGGCTGCTTACAAAGCTAATACCAGTAAACTCAAACAAGATGATAACCTTCCAGCAAGATCAGAGATACCTGTAGCCTTCAAAGACCCAGTGAAAGTGAAGGACCCTAGCGAGAAAATGCCAGTGAGGTTAAAACCCACACTAGGCACCTTATAAGGCAGAGAAATGTTCAGACCAAGATACCAAGCTCCCTAGCATTTTGTCCTAAAATGTCAGAGGGCCCTGAAAATCCAGTGCTCTGAACCTTAGTGATCAGGGGAAAGGAGAGAACACCCTAACCCCGAGAAGAGGAGGTCTGCACAGAAAACCATATAACCCAAAGGAAAGCAAGTAAGATTGACCACCTCACCCAAAAACACAGCAGATGGGTGGACCTGGCACAAAAATCTCAGTTCAGGAATCAAGGTTAGAAAGTGTGATTCTGTAACATATGCTAGCAACAACTCAAAGGAAAAAATGGATTTTCTATAAGAACCTAGAAAAAAAGAAAGCAAGAGATATAAAAGCTCAAGAATTGGAAAGAGAATAACTTGAAACAGAAAATAGTAAACCTTACCTAAGTAACAGACTCCTTAAAAACTAGAAAAGACCAAATTGTAATTAATAAGTCTATGAGACAGCAAGAAATACTAGAACAAAATCAAAAGACTGAAATTATATATATATATATGTGTGTATATATATATATATATATATATAAAAGATTTCAAAAAGAAACAACCTAGAGATCCACTGGAGATAATTTCAGAATCACTAGCTTCCCTGAAAACTATGATTTAAAAAAAAAAAAGGCTTGGACTCTGTATTTCAAGAATTCATAAAATGAAAACTGCCCGTATCTATTAAAACAGAGGGCAAAGTGAAACTAGAAAGAATCCATTGTTTACCTCCTGAAACAATACCTAAAAGGAAAAGTCTCAAAAATTACATACCTAAAATCCAGAACTTCCAGAAAAAACACTGCAAGCAACCAGAAATAAGGAGTTCAAATACTAATGAACAACACTTACCGAAAACAGACAAAACATGTTTGAACTCTCTTCCTCTCACACGCACACGCGCACGCATATGCGCGCGCGCACACACACACAGATAAATACATTAAACCATTAAACTCAACAAAACTTAGATAGGGAGGGGAAAGCAATAAAAAGGGAAGATAATACCAGGGAGGGAACAGTCACAAGCAAAATAAACTTGCTGGTCCCTAAGAAGGTATTAAAAGGGAGAAAAAGATAAAAAACAGAATCTAAGAAGATACCTATAAATTGAGGCATAGGTGAAGAAACTGTGGCATATGAATGTAACAGAATTTTATCATGCCATAAGAAATATGATGATATTCATATTTCATGGGAAGTATGAATGGATACATAGTTAAGTGAGCAGACCCTGATAAATTTATACAGTGAGAACACTGTAAATACAAACAACTTTGAAAGGTTTAAGAACTCTGATCAAAACAATGACCTATAAGGAAGGATGTTACCTCCTGACAAAGAGGTGAAGGACTCAAGGTACAGAAAGAGACATACATTTTTTTGGACATAGTTACCATTTAAATTTATTTTGCTTGACTATGGTTATTTATTAGTAGGGCTTTTCTCCCCTCTCTTTTTAACTGGGGAGAGGAGAGCAATATCGATGCCTACCCCCCCCCCAAAAAAAGCCACTGAAGCATTTTAAAAATGCACACAGTGGAACAGAAGAAAATTCAGAAAATAAAGACAAGAAGGACATTTTTTAAACATGTAGAATTTATTGCATTCTATTTTTCAAAAAAGCAAGTGGTAGGAAATGGAGATTCATGTCTTACATCATCCTCTCTTTGTGTTCTACTGTATATGTGAAAAAATGGATTTTTTTTTTTGGTACTTAAGTTCAGAGTAAATTTTTAAGTGCTAGTCATATTTAGGAAGTTAAGTTATTCATAACATAAATATACATTAACTATAGTATTCCAGATTAGTTTCACAACAATGTTTAGAGAGCCAAAACAGCTTTTACCCCAAAACTAAGTGGGAAGAAAAAGAACATAATGTTTTGTTTTTCTAACCAAATTACCACGTGAATAATTTTAAGGAGTAAGAGAGCAAAAGCAGATTTGGTAATCAAACTTAGAGCTAAAAGGAACATTAGTTTTTCTCTTAGGTTCTCGTTTGACAGATGAAGACCCTGCAATTCAGAGATGAAGTGGCCCACACTGGGGCACTCGAGTTATTGACAAAGATAGCATCAGAACTCAGTTTTTCTGACTTCCTGCTCAGGGCTCTTTCCATTACATGAAGCACCCTACCTTGACCTCTACAGATCTGAAATTTGTCATTTTCAAACATATGAGGGCAAGCAATACTATCATAAGTTTGAAACAGTGTAACTGCAACTTAGTGCAGTGTGGAAATTTATATATAATAAATTGACCTAAGGAAGGTCTCTAATTTTATTATTATTATTATTAAAATCTTGTTTCATTATTATTAGACTGCATTTGGTATTTTCTGTTGACCTATTTATTCTCTGACAACCTGCCTAGGAGTTGCCCAAGGGACCAAATTTAAAATATAATATACCTTAAATTTGATTTATGAGTCACCTTGAAACATGAGGGCAAATATATTTTTCGAATGGGTATAATTACTGGATTTCAAGGAAATTTAGTACATTTGTAGATTATAGGGATTTATTATTAAGAAAAAAAAATGCTTCATTTCAACTTCTTAAAAAAATAGGCTTATAATGAAAAAATGATTCCCTTATCCTCCTCTGAAGTTAGTGTATCTCTTTACATGACTGCACTAAGGACTATATGTTGACAGCTTCTAGCAAAAAGTTCTAAACTTCTCAGAGGTTGTTTGTCCTTCGTTTTTGAAGAGGACCAATGACATCAGAAAGGTAACTTCTTGACTTGCAAGTGAAGTGGATTTCAGTGAGGCAGGGCTGTGCAAAGTCACTAGCCTCACTCTCTCCTCTGGAGCCATCTGGGTCCAGTGGCAACATATAGATCAGGACAACTGGAGATAGCCTTGGGAGACCTTGGTCTTTTAAAGCTAAGGTCTTTAACAGGTCTCAGTTTGTCTGAGGCAACACCTATTAGGGAAACATTTCAGAAGTAGAGGATTTCTGGAAGCTTAATAGAGTAGAATAATAGAATGATGAGCATGTGGCAAAGTTGCTACTAAAAGTCAGGCTACTACATCTAATTAGGTTGTAACATATTACCAAATGATGGCTAGCTTATAATAAGTGATATAAAAGATATAATGAAGAGGTGGACCAGTCAGGAAATAAAGAGCAAGGGAAAATAGATGGACAGACCAAGTATACTAGTATCCATGAAATATTAAAACTCACAAAGAAGGTCTTTAGCACATTAGGCAGAGTTTCTATGGAAGATCTATGGAATAATACAGTCAAGAATCACAAAGGATGAGAAAGCATATATGGATTGAAATCTACATGGATTAAATCATTAATCCATTGATATTTATTGAACCTCTGAATGTTAGCTAGTTTGCAAATATAATAATTCTTTTTAGCATTCTGAGAATTTAAACCACTGTATATCTTTTAAAAACTTTTTACTTTAAATGTGAGAGAAATGATTACTTCTCTCTTATATTAAATAACCAATTGTTAATATTGGAGAGATCCAGGATATTTTACTTTCCTATTTCCTCATTCAGAAATCCACCCCTTATAAGTTATTCAGCCAGCATCTGAAGGACATTGCTGATAAGATTAGATTTAATATTCTTCTCAATTCTTGTTCAGACCTCACACAACTGGGGAAGCCCACTGCGTTTTACTCAGGCTTAGGTGGGGAATAGATTCTTTGTCTAGACTGCCAAGGCTGGAGGTGGTCTGGAAGTAAGAGTGACATAGTTGGGGCAGCTAGGTGGCACAGAGAACCAGTCCTGGAGTCAGGGGGACCTGAGTTCAAATGTGACTTCAGACACTTACTAGCTGTGTGACCCTAAGCAAGTCTGTTAACCCCAATTGCCTGGGGCGAGGGGCGGGGGGCAGGGGGCAGGTAGAGAAAGAGTGACATAATCAAAGGCATGTCTCCCAGTTCTTGATTAGAATAGGTCCACCTCTCATTATAATATTCATTCTTTCATTACTCTTCTAAGGGCATATAAGTATCCAGAGGCTGCTATGATTCATCTTTGGTTTATGAAAGACAGCCAAATGACCATCCTTTTATTATTTGCTAGCCATAATTAATACAATGATTAATTACCCAGAAATTATGTCTCTCAAACTTTTCACTCATCACAAACAATAAAAACAACTACATTTTGTTTTGTAGGATCATGGATCTGGAGGGGACCTCACAGATCAACAGGTCCAATCCTACTATTTTATAGATGAGGCAACTGAGACCCACAGAGGTTAAACTGACTCAGCCAAATTCACAGGCAGATAAGACGCAGAATTGGGATTTCAAGTCAAATCTATTTTTTCCACTACTCAACACTGCCATCAATATTATAAGCCCTAGACATAAGTAGAACATACTAGAGGCATGTTCTCATTTGAAGAAAAGATGTGTGAAGAATCACAAATTCTTAAAATAGGAGCAGGACAAGGACTGGGAGGGATAATTATCCAAATTATTAAAAGATTTTTTTTACTTTAAGACAAGGTTCCTTAAAAATTAAATTCACCTAGTATATTTTAATCATTATTTGATAAACAAAAGCCAACCTGATGCACAGCTTTTCAAGAATCTATTTCACAAAGTGAAGTAACCTGTAATCTAAATTCTGAATTTCCGTGTCTTAATACAATTAGGCTACATAAATACAAACAGGAAAAAATGTGTAAACGGAACACTGTTTTAGTTCAAGGCGAGTTTTTTGTTTCTTTACTCTCTAGTCTTTCAGAGCTCACAAGTTCAAAGGAGCACGCAGCTCCATATAATCCAGTTGCTGTAAACTAACCTGATGAAAAGGGTCGTCTCTATATTCCTTTTTCATAAATGGATTAACTTGAGGATTTTCCACATCTGTCTCACTGGTACAAGATGAACGGCATTCTGCACAATGTAACAAGTCTTCCCATAATACATCTTCTGTTTCTGATTCTGGCCTTGTACTCTCAGAATCTTGTCTGGAGCTTGAACAGCGAGAGCTGCAACTAGTACCCGATTTAGGGGCATCCTGAAAGTAAGATATTCTTTGACATTAATGCAGTTTATATATTCTAACTGAAAGGTCTTCTAGAAACCATTCAATTAAGTTGATGCCAGGTTTGTTTGTTTTTTAATTTATGAAAGGAAAGAATAAGACAGCCAAACATTATGAAAAGTGACCACTTCTTTTCCCCTGTATTTATTACATACTTACATATTATTTGGTAGTAGATACAAAAAGCACACCCACCCCAAAATTTATGTGATTTCACAGCTAATAACTACCATACACTTTTCAATATTTAACAAAGTATTATTGTGCCTGTTTTCTATCTCCTAACTTCATATGAACTTCACAATCAGGCTTGGCATGAACCAGGTATAAACTTTTGTCTCTGTACATTCAGCATCAAACTCACTGGGATATACGATTCATATTAAGTCTGGTATGTTCTCTGTTCTGTAGTTTTATTTTAGTCTTCAGTAGCAACAAAAAGTAGGAACCCTTGGGGCAGCTAAGTGGCGCAGTGGACAGAGCACCAGCCCTGGAGTCAGGAGGACCTGAGTTCAAATCTGACCTCAGACACATAACACTATCTGTGTGACTCTGGGCAAGTCACTTAACCCCAATCGCCTCACCTTAAAAAAAAAAAAGTAGGAATCCCTAAATAAACTAATAGTAACCAATAGATCTCAGTACTTTTAATTTATATTTTTCAAATGAAAATCCCACATATTTTTAAAAATTACAGTAAAAAACTTCAACCAGATAAACAACTTAAAATACTAAGATACACTACTTTGAAAAAACAAAAGCCTAAGATACCAACTCTGTTTTTGAAGCTAATAAGGTAAACCACATTCATATCTAACACAAATTTTGTCTAAATTTTTTATTAAACAACTATTAACAACAATCTTGAATTATTTAAGAAGGATGTTTTTTAAAATGAGAAAAATTTTCCCAGGAAAGACCAAGTAAGGATATGGCCTAAAATATAGGAGATAAGTTTCACATTATTAATGTACCAGTATCCTTAGTCTTAAAACTTCCAACAACATCTTTGCTTTTTCCCCTCCTTCCTTTAAATCTCCATAACTACTGTGCAACCAAATTCAAATGAATTTTTCTTCAAAATGTTTTCTGCATTCATATCTTGCTTTTTGTTCCTCACTGTCACAATCCTCATTTAGGCCTTCATTCATAATAAGGTATGGGAATAGCTTACCTATTGTAAAAGCCTTTACTTAAGCTTCTTTTCCAATCAAAAAATCAATCCTATACACACCATGATTAGATTAATGCTCCTAAGCCACCAATTTAATCATGTAATTCCACTGCTTCCAAAATTTCAGTGAATAGCTCTCAACCACCCATCCTAGAAGATAATGTTTAAATTCCTTAGACTAACATTTTAGGTCATCCTTGAGTCTTGGTCAACCTACCTCTTTGCCTCATTTCTCCTTAGCCCCCAGATGAATCTTCTGGTCCACCAAACCTGAGGCAATGGAGGATTGCAGGAAATAGAATGGTTCAAGAATCAAGACTGCATATGTTTAAATTCCACCTCTTACACTTCCTACCTGAGTGACCTGGGCAAGTCACTTAATCTTTGTGTGCCTTAGTTTTCTCATCTGTAAAATAAAGGAATTGGACTAGCTGACCTCTGAGGTCACCTTCAGCTCTACATCCAGTATGATCTTAATCACCATCCTATAAGCCTGTCTTGTCTTTAAGCCTTAGTTGACCTTTTTCCTCATTACCTATCTGAATCTTCAAGTGTCACATTCTCTAAGAAGTTTTTCTGTCTAAGAAGCAATGGCTTCTTCCTTCTTCCTTGATGACTTCTATTACCCATCTGGAAATTAGTATTACATCACTTAATGAAATATCTTATGTTTTGAATTATTTAACTCTCACGTTATAACTGCTGATGTGTTTCTGAATTATCTCCTCAAATAGGTGACCGGTTAATTGAGGACAAAGAATTAATGTTATTCTTTACTTTTTCCTAAAATGATTTGTATGCATTGTATTTTACATGTTTAGAAAGAATTTAAATGATAGAGTCTTTAAAATCTCTATCAGTCTGCTATGAAAAAAAATAATACGCATCAATCTGTCTCAGAAAAGTAAAGGTGGAGAGAATAAAGAACAGAAAGAAATGATAACAGAATAAAGTGAACATTACCAGGAAAACAATTTATAGCACAATAACACTCTAAAAATGGACAACTTTGAAAGACTTCAGAACTCTGTTCAAGGCAGTGACTATGATTCCAGAGGACTGAATGACAAAGAATGCTTCTCATTCTCCTGACATAAGGGTGATGAACTAAATATGTAGAACAAGACATACATTTTGGACATAGCCAAAGCGGGGGTTTGTTTTGTTTGACTATGAATATTTGTTACAAGATCCTCTCAGTACCCTGCAGTAAGGAGGAAGGGGGGGGGGGAATCACTGGTTAAATTAAAAAAAAATTTAAAGAGAATGAAAGTCAGGAGAAGCTCTAAAGAGACTAAGTTGCTTTGTGCTTTAAAAAAAAGGTTATAAAGGGTGTCTCAAAAGTCTTAGTGCAACTTACAATTTAGATCTGCACTAAGACTTTTGGGGCACCCTGTGTTAAAATATTTCAGACTCAAAATTTCTGGAATAGGTAATATTATAAAAGACAAAAAGCAGCACAAAATTAGTCACATTTACTTAAAATTTAAAAGCTTTTAAGTAGCTTGGATTTCATAACAACCTCTGGTACTACGGCAAAGTGCCTTAGTAATTTTGTGGTCTGGAATTTCACATGCTTGAGAATTTTCACTTCTAAAAACTTCAAAGTTCATCATTTTAAAAAGAATCAAGCTAATAAATTAAACAACTCTAAAAGTATCAAACATGTTATTATTGTTGCTTTTGGCTTTTTTGTTGCAGACCTGTGAGAACTCCATCACCTTCCACCAATGCAGAAAAGCAACTCAAGTGAGACCTGAAGTCTTAAAAAGTTGCCAAGAACAGATAACTGACTTGCCCACACTCACACAACTGGTTTGTCAGAGGCAAGACTTGAAACAAGGAAGTTCTTTCTAGAGCCAGTACCTATTTCCATGCTGCTTCTTTTTTTCATAACATGGTCAAGTACATAAATTTACCTAAACTTAATGGTGCATGTAGACTAAAAAATTTATAGAACACTTGACAATTTCAGAAAATACTTTCACATAAATTATCTGAGACTAACAATAACTTTATAAAGTAGGCAGAGCAGGTATTATTCCCATTATACAGAAGAGGAAACAAGAAAGCTACTAGGATTAAATGAATTGCCCAAGGTCATACAGCTAGTAAGCACTAAACTTAATGCTGGACCTAACTCAGATCTTAATTCTGCACTCTTTCTACCATACCATGTTACCTTCTGAATATGAAGGACTCTCTTTAGAGGCCTCAAGGTACTTTCACCAAGGCACAATAATAATAATAGCTTACATTTATATAGTGCTTTTGTGGGATTAATGTACCATAACATATATGATCTCATTTGATCCTCAAAATAACCACATTTACATATAAGTATTGCTAACTCTACATCTGTGGAAACTGAAACTGGTACAAGGTCACAAAGCCACGTCAGTCAATACTCAATAAACATTTATTAAGCATCTACTATGTTCCAGGCACTGTAATGTAATGACAGAAGCAAGATATGAACCAAAATGATTTGATTCCAAACCCAAGGCTCTTTCTATTACACTATGAAACATCTTACAAATGGAATTAATGAGTGTGCTTTTGTACAAATATCATGCCTAACAATGGTTTCCTGAAGTGGAAAAAAAATTCCACCTACACAACCTTTAACTCATACATGGCAGAAATATTGAAATTCAAATTCCAATCCTTGTGCAGCCTGGTTGTTAAAACCTAAATTAAACTAAATTGGAAAATTCTGAATTAAAAGAGAACAAATAAATCAAAGATTTTTGGCTTAACTCTGACACAAGATGTGGATATTGGACAAATCATTCAAAAATAAACCTAAAATTAGCTAGAAGAACCTAAAAGTATTAAGTAAGAACCAATACACCTCTTTAAAAAAAAGAAATCTGAGCAGATCAATTTTTAGAATAATAGAAAAATATGCCATTCATGGGAAAGAATATATATAGTAAACATATGCATACTCATATGTATATATAATATGTATATGTGTGTATGTATATATGTATTATACATATTTAGGAAGACAGACTATTACACTGGGACATAACTGACTGGAGTGTTGTATCGAAAGCTGATGGTGGTGTAGCTCAACAACAAGCTAGTTGAAATTACTAAACGGCAATCCACAGAAGGCAAACTTAGTAACAAGATTATTTAATGGTTTTATTGATGATGGAGATGATTGCCAATGCAGTTTACAAATAATACCAAATTAGCTGGATTTGTTTACACTGACAGAAAATAAAATTCAAAATAACCTGGATAATCTAAGTTCAGCAAAATATTAAAATGAATAGCAGCAAAGAACTAAAATCACTTGACTAAAAAGGAAGTGGTAAAAAGACTAGTGAAGGAAATTGTAGAGTAAAAAAAACAAACAAACCAAAAACAAACAAAACAAACAAAAAAACAACCACCACCATGAATTGTAATAGACAACAAGATGAATCAGTAAACCAGAGGCACTACTACAAAATCAGAGATGATTGTGAGATTAATGGTATGTGCTACTAAAATGACAGCATTGAAACTTAATTCTTTCTCTATAATCAGCAATAGGTGGTGGCCTTAATTCATGATGTTTTACTGTTTCAGCCCTTCTGAATTTCTTCAAGACCTTTAGAGATTTTCCCTGAAGTTTAGCTATGCTGCCACCAGGTGATGGTAGTAAACCACAGAAAGGCCTGATCGACAATGCAAATGCTTTCCATGAGATTCCCTGACTCAAACTTACTCAAATTTATACTCATGGATTTCTTAAGTTTTTCTATATAAACATATATTTCTTGGTTAAAACAGGAAAAGCTCAGAATTTTAATAAGTATTTCATGTGATTATTCTGAATGAAAAAAAGTTATTTCAGATAACTTTTAAAAACAGAACTCCCAACAGCACATTCCAGTACGTTCTTTACCTAATGAAGTGGCTATGTGTTGCCTCCACTTCTCCCATCTCTTTCCATTATTACTTGAGTCCAGTTCCTTTCCTAGCAATTCTCTCCCACCCCCTCTATTAGTTAATCCCCCATCACCACTTCTTGCCTCAGGTTACACTTCAAGGTAGGACTGGTTAAGGGCAGAAGCCTGATGACTGGACACAGTGGGGATAGGAGGAAGAGACAAAGAGGCAAGAGCCTAGGCTCCTTGTCTCTCCTTCCAACCCTCGATCGTGGACCCAAAAGAATTTGTGTTTCCTTAATATTTTGACAACTGTGTTTCAATATAATTGGTTTCCTTTGTAATCCTATATATTTTATTTTCTGCATTTAAAAACACTATTCTGAGGAGACTGGAGGTTTCATTAGACTGCCAAAGGGCACTACAATGCAAAAAAGGCTAAGAAGAACGCTTGCTCTAGCGCACAATTTTCTTGGATGCATGCTGAGCTGAACTAAGGAGAAGCTTCTTTTTTGGTAGTAGTTCCCGGGTCAGTTCCACATTTCCCTACCATTGCTCTCTCAAATACATTCTCTAGAATTTTGTTAACTTAGCTTCCTCGTTCCTAAGGCTGTAAAGGCTCCTCAAATAAAATAAGATACATGCCATCTGAAGCAACTACTGAGAATATCAAACCCTTAGGTCTCAATTCTCCCCAACCACAGGAGGCTTTTTCTTACATTACCACTCTTTTCTTCCCTCTAAGCAGATAATCCCTCCTACCTGATGTTTTATTTTATTAGAATTAGAAGATATTGGAGAGCCAGAAGGGACCCTAGAAATTAGCCAAGATAAGTCTCTTACTTTATAGTTGAGAAAATGAGGGCCAGGGAGGTTTATCTTGTACAATGCCCGCTGTGTTAATTACCAGCCCTACTTAGCTGCAGAAAAGTCCTAGGTTGCAAGCTTGAGATTTTTATGGAGACAAAATTAACACAGTAACTTCCCATTTATTTAGTGGTCACATTCTAGTAGCACTGGGAAGTAAAAAAAGGCTTCAGAGGCATAAAAAAAATAGCTGCTACAAAATCTAAACACTATATTCTTATTTAATGGAGGCACTGAATCATCCTAAGGGCCTTTCTAATATCCCACTGACTTAGGGTTGTTACAAAAATGAAGGTCACTGATTTAGCACATTGGGTTATAGAAGATAATATATTAGATATGTAAGGGGAAAGGTTCCTAGAGGCAGACATATTGACAACAGTGAGTCTGACAGCTGACAAGAAGGGAAAAGTACGAAAAAATAGAGCTATCTGGGCCAGTTTGATGTAGGGGCAAACGGTCCTACTGACCTTAAGCACACTTGAGAAAAATATTATTGTGTTACACTGTTAAATGATAACTGATGTTCATAAAGATGACTGAACCATCAAGAAAATGTGCTATTTCTTCAGTATAGTTAATATGTTTCATATAGCAAGGAAACATACTACATACTGGAAAGACTTCCATTAAAAAGATTCCAATACTTGAAAAGTTTTTGTACTGTTATTCTCTTCATTATGTGGAGTTGTGAATTCACAAAGGCTATAATTAACAGTAAGCTTGGAAACGTCCCAATAAGAGGAAAGGCCCATAAAAAACTGTATGTCTACCACGTTCAGCCACCAAGTTCAGAAATGTTTATTACAAAAATAAAAGAAATGTTTACCACTAAAGGTTTGTGCACATAGTGACAAATTTCTTTTGGCCATTGCAACTCATAAAGATAGGCTAGCCCACTATGACATATATGGATCCATAGAGAAAAGTAGCCACACCCAATGAAACGATGGATTCTTGAAGTATGTTTTGTACTGAAGAGAAGATCCAGATATCTAGAAAATTCACTCATATGGATTATCTCATTCTCCACAATCCTAGATAATTTCAAGTGTTGCTATACTTAGAAAAGAATGGAAATAGAACATAAAATTGAACAAGATTCTAACTAGTTTCTTTACAATATGTTTGAAGTTTGAGTTTCTGAATTTGATACGTAAAAACTGGAAAAAACTAAATGAGAAAATGATTAACTGACTAATAATAAAACAGCAATTACTAGAGGAGAAAATATGAAGTATGGTAAACTGTAAAGTAAATTTTAAAAAGAGAGTGAGTTTGATATAATGAACTTCTCAATTATAAAGATTAAGTGCTGGGGGAAAAAAGCTAACAAGAGTAGTTATAAAAATTTAACCCTTCTATATTATATTTAACCCTTCTGTGTAATTGAAAATAAGAATATTCATGTATGATTCCAGGAATTCCACACATATAGTTAAAAATGTGCTGATGTTTCATTAATACCTAAGCATTATATGAGCCAGGATTGGGACTATAAAAATCCAGATCTCATGATTTTAACACTTTGTAACAATATAAGCATTATTCACCAGGTATACTGTTGCACAGAAATCTTCTGGTTAAACTGCATTTATCTAGAAATAGCAACTAAAAAACGATGTAATACTTTAAATACATCAATGGATGAGATGTCATTGATGTGGGCACCCCCTAAAATAATGCAGAAAATAGCACATCCATGCCTTCTCATTCTACGTAACTCTTGTTCATGTTGCCCCATAAATATTCCACAGTAGGACTACTCAACTTGCTAGAAGTCTTCTTCTAGGTCTCTTAATGAGATTCAAGTACCAAATAACATAGGAACTGCCCCTAATTCTTATCAGTTAGTGAGGATACTTCATTTTCTAGTCATAATCTACTTGATAATGCTTTTTGTGCAAATGTTAATCTCTGAAAATTATGTTGTTCTATTTGAAACCATATGGCATCACTGAAGAAAAAGCTAATGCGAAAAAGAAGGGCTTCTACTTCAAAGAGAAACTTAGGGTTTTTAAAAATGTCAAACAGTTTCCTAAATGCCTGCTGTTTTTGCCCTATTTGATTCTAGGCCTATTCATTTGCATATCTTTCCAAAATATATTACTAATGGATAATCTTTATGGACTTTCCATCCAACTACATATGAATATGAAAAAAGATATTCTTCATCAACTTGATTTTTCCTACTGCTAATTATTAGGCAAATACTTTTGAGTGGCTGTGGATAACATTTGGAAGCCTCCAAAATGTTTTGGGGTTTGACAAAAATTAATATAATATCACCTGAAAAATAAAGCATCTCTTATATTTAGATAATACCAGATGCCATCCATGACAATTTTGTGAAAGTATGTTTCCCTAATATATGCCTTATAATCACAAGATCAAACAAAATTACCTCTGTGGTATGTCTATCAAAGAAATCTTGTAAGAAGGGAACATATACATATTAAGATATCTTATAGGATAAATCCCAAAGTCCTTCAAGGCAACCAACTGGAATGAAATGTAAAATCACAGCAGTAATAAAAATAAAAGATTATACTTTTTATGTCCCTGAATTTCAAAATCTGTTCATCTTGCCAATAACGTATTTACTTCATTTGATTCTTAAAGGGTTTCTGATTTTGAATAATCATCATGTCCTACATAAATAATAGTTAAATAATGTAAAGAAAATAACTAAATGAATGAATTTCATATCAAATCATTCTCACAAATTAGAGAAAATGTATAACTTTGATCTCCTTTCCCATACTTGAGACTTTAGTTTTAAAGTTTAAAGGCTAATAATAAAAGAGGGGGAAAAAACCCGAGACTTCACATGGTGTTTTAAGTTTTGCAAAGTACCTTACAAACATGATTTTGGTTTTCTTCATCTGTCACTGAGTTAAAATTAATGTTGTTTTTATATGCACAATATTTATTACTCATGCTATTTTTGTTCAAAATTTTACCATCTAGATTGTAAAAAGGACTGTCAATTTTCATTTTTGACTCTCCAATTCCTACCACACAAAAAGTACTAAAAAAAATGTAACTGAACATCTGTTGTAATGTAAGTCCCAATTCTCAGATACCATTTCTGTTCTTTTTAAGTTAACATAATGTATATAATGGATTTTTTCTATAATTTATCATGTATTGCATTTTAAATGCTACACTTACACTTTGAAACTTATGGTATCCTGAAAAAAAGAAAAACACCTATTTTGGAGGGTCTCTGAAATCCATAAGGCTTACTTGTGCCAGGCTATATCTCTGTTCCACACATTTTTCTGATTCAATCCTTGTCTGAAATCGCCTATGTCTGCAACTTCACTAGTTTAGAAACTTCTGGAGAATGAGAGCCTCAGTGGCCAATCTTTGGTGTCTCCACACCCATGACATCAGGGATAAGCAACCAATCCAATGCACCTGAGCAAAAATTCATCCTTTTCCTATAAAACTCATGGATATTGTGAGCTGTGCTAAGTGCCCTCTATAAAATTCTATATATTGCATGTAGAATCAGTAGGAATGACAAGATGCTGATGTAACTTGCACGTGTCAAGCCCAGTCTGAAAAACTAGAAATCAAATTAAGGAAAAAAAAGAAGAAAAAAGAAAAGAAAAGCTAACACAAATGTCCAAGGAGATTGCTGCTGGCATATTTGCATTTGATATAGACAAAAGATATTCATAATGATACTAATGGAAGGAGATATTTGTTATTTTGAATTAGTAACAATGCTTTGAACAATTATAATCATTAAGAAATAAGATCAAAAATGATCAATATATAACAATTAAAAAAAACAACACTGAGATGGAAAGTTATTTCTTTTGTTATCCTATTCAAGCAAACTTAAAAAAGAAGAATAAGAGAAAATATTTTTAAAGGCCAAAACATACCTCTGTAGAATAATGCTTCTTATAATGATGTGACTTCCTATTTCGAAGGATGTTCTCAGAGGCTCTTTCTACATGGCGACGCAATGCGTATCCTGTTTCCACGCCTTCCTCACTTGATACTTCATCTGAGACATTGGTGATTATCCTTTGGTTGTCCTAAGTTGACCGATATACAAGCAGTGTTAAAAGTATATAACCATCCTGACTGGTTTTTTTAAGATGTTGGGAATAATTGTTTGAAAACAGATAATGTAAAAACTTCACAGAAAAATATTTCTCTCCAGAATGATTGACTAATGTATATGCAATTGCCTTGCATGAAAATGTTCTTTAAAAATCAGATTACATAATAACAGATGTTTTTATAAACTTTCTCAGTGCAGTACAAGACTTTTGTCAAGATATGTATTAAGCAATTATCTATTTAGCATTTGTATCTTGCCTACTTCCAGAAAGAAACTTAAGGTTGCTTATAAAATTACGTGATATAAAAATAAGACAAGAAAACAGAACTCTATAAAAAGAGTAAAAATTGTGTGAGCTAAGCTAATTACTAAAGTTGGTAACCAAATTTTGCTCTAAATTTCCTAGTAGCTAAGACAGAAAGGCAGGAAGGCAGGGAGGAAAAAAACCCACTGGATTTCATAGAAAATAATAGTTATTCATGCTTAGTGCTTCAGTTTACCTTTGCTCACAAGAACCTAATGACATAGCCATGTCTTCTTTCCATTTATGTTACTAGAAAAAAAATCTGTTTTGGTTTGTGTATTTGTTTTAAAGATCATTATTATTACTGAGTCTGCATTTCAGAAAGTAATATTTGCAGCATGATATTTGGTTTATGCTAAGGAAGTTTCTCATATGACTCTATAGAGTTTCATTAACATTTAAGCATTTTATACTCAAATGCAAAGATGACTCAAAATTCATGCATTCCTTCCTTCAGAAACATTTGCACACTCTGGTACATGGCATTGGGCTGGATATAAGACATAGAAAGGCACAGTCCATACCCTTAAGATGCTTACAATATAAAAGGGAAAATGCATGCACAGAAATAAGAATGATACAAGACAGAATGTGACAAGGGCAAATGAAAAGAAAAAAGTGTTGCAAGAAAACCTGAATAGAAAAGTGGGGGAGGGAAAAAGTAGAGAATGAAGAAAGGTTTCCCCAAGGAGGTGACACAAGTGATGAGTTTTAAAGAGAAGAATTTCAAAAAGTAGTGCTGAAGAAATGAATTAAAAGTATGAGAGATGAGCAGGACTACATTCTGAAGTGTGAAACAAGATCACAAAGTAGGTTAGAATAGAATCATAGAGGCATTTAAACCAGGCTATGGAATTTGAATTTCAGCCTTTAAGTAATAGATCATTGAAAGACTCCTAGCAGGGAATAGTTGTACATTCTAGGAATGTTATTTTGGCAACTGTACAAAGGACATATGGGAGAGAGTAAGAGACTGAGTGAAGGAAGGCAGACAAATTGGAAGTTATTACAATAGTCCAGAACATTATCTAAAGTGGTAGTAGTCTGGAACAGAGAGAAGGGCATAGATGGGAGATATATTTCAGGTTGAATCAACAATACATCAGAAAGCATTTATTCAGTGCTTACCACGTGCTAGGCACTATGCTAAGTGGAAAGGACACAAACCCAAAAGTGAAGTAATTCCTGCTCTGTAGGGGCCTACATTCTAGTGGGAGAGAAAACCTAAAAGATTTGGCCACTTTGACGAGTGACAAGAAGACTCAAAGAAACACCTATGGTTTTAAGCATATATGACTACAGGAAAGTGGTTTTATCAACAAAAATAGAAAAATTTAGGAAGTGGGATAAGTAGGGGGTAGGGGAAGGAACAACAGATAGACGGTAAGTTTAGTTTGGTTAAGATGGCCTGTGAATACAGTTTGCTCAAAGATTGAGGCCATTTATAGTTTTGGAAGTTATTTGCACAGAAGTGAAAACTGAAGCCTTGAAAATAATGATGAGATCTCTAAGGAAAAAGGGGGATGAGAAAAAAGCACCGGAATCATAGGATCCTAAGAACTAAGATGGAAGAGCCTTCAGAGGCCATCTGGCCTAAGCCTCTCATTTTACATATAATGAAAATGAGGTACACAGAGGTTAAATGTCTTATCCAAAGTCACACAAGTAGTAAGCAAAGTGGACTTGACCCCAGGTCCTTTAAATGCAGAACCAATGAATACTATTTATACTATACTAGTCATTTCATCTCTCTGAACCTGTTTCCTTATCTATGAAATGAGAATAACTTTGGCTACCTACATCATAGTATTGTTCTGAGAAAAGAATTTAGTAAAGCTTAAGGCACTATGAAAATGAAATACACCATAATCAACCTGTTTTGCCTGAGCTCTCCAATTTTAACCGAAAAAAAGTAGTTTGTGAAGGATTACAGAGTAATTAAAAGGAGCCCTCTTATGTTCACAATCCTACTGGGATCCTTAAATCATAGTATATTAGTTGAAATAATATTTCTCAATAAAACTGAATAAATCATACTTACTCTGTGCTGGTTATTGGGTGTATTCCTGACTGTTCCTGTGCTCCAGCCTGTCTCTTCTGACCTAATGACTTCACATGGAGGTTCGTGATTTTGTATTCCATCCTCACTGCTTTTAAATGTCTTTTTCCCTTCGAGGGATACATAACCATTATCTGTTTCTGTTGATTTATCAATTGAATTTTTTGTTTTCTTTGACCTAAAATAGAAAATATAGATTAAGCATAATTCATCATGTCCTAAAACCTTTGTGTCTTATTGTTTTCATAACTTTTCATCAATCACATCCAGTAGCTGATTCATTTGTAGTTATTAATACATATATATTATTTATCACCAAGAATATTAATGGCTATCCTTATTTGTGAAATGACAGTTTAAAAGTCAAAGATAACAATTTCATATACTGTAATCCTAAATAATGTGACAATTAATGTGAAAAATTGGAAGAAAAAAGGGAGTAATATTAATCTTTCACCCACTAATTCTAAAAATATCAATTGTTCTATGAAAGAATATTTCTCATCATAGGCTTTATTATTTAAAAAAGCAACTCATAGCAAAAAAAATCTAACACCAGAACATGAAATTATTTGGTATGTACATAACAGACTGACACATAAACTGGCAGTGCTTCAGTTCTATCCCTTTTGTCCTTAAGAATTACAGTGGGTGAAAGATAAAAAATGACTCCAGTACAACTTAGTAGGACTTTAAGTGTAAATACAAGATCAAACTTAATTGTGCTCAGTTCTGATCAAGTTAATGATTAAAGCATTTCATCAAAATGCAACTTAATAATGACATAAAAATACTAAGTTCCAACAAAATCTTACTCAAAGTATCAGTTTTACACGAAAGAAAAATCAAAACAAATGAAGTATCTCTAAGAAGTTCAAGAAATAGGCCTTACAAAATAACATGTAAAAGCCTTTAGAAGACATTGCATTTCTATACTGGACTCAGGCTAAAAAAGAAATAGTGAAACATGAGTCTTAGGATCTTCAATTAATCCTGCTTATTCTCTCACTTGCTAAAATTGCCAAAAATGGTGACCTATTTTTGTATTATCTGGTCTTTTTTCTTTGACTCAAAGGTACTTAAAACTCCAAATATGAAAGTCCCTACCAGCTATAAATCCTATTGTCTATCATACTTTAAAAAAAAATACATGTAAATATTTCAATGAGTCTCTGGTCTCAATGTCAGTACTTCCTCCCACCATACAAATCATAAACTATCCAAACTATGTCACTCTACTTGACTCCTGTATATGTCATCTCCTGATTTCTCCATCTCTATACTCCATGACATTATGGTGGTAACTGAGAAGACACACAGGTCATCTATTATCCCTCACCCTATGATGTGTTTACTTCCTTTTCCATTCAAAATTCTCTTTAATAAGACTTTTTACATTGCTTCTTGTGTGTTTATTTGCATCCACCATGCATCATTTCATTGTCCTTTGGGTATCCTACTATTTTGATTATGGTTTTCCATGATTTGCAGTGATACAGTATCCCTGGAAAAATACTGGTGGATTTTTAAATTTTTGTTTTTCTAGGGAGAAGCTTGGGAACATTGAAAGCAGGGATCAACTTCCCAAATTGGTTCTCCTCTAATTCTAATCCCAGTTTATTGAGCATCTATTATGGCTGTTGAAGACACACAAATACATACATGTATTATATATATAATACATACATATATACACATATACTACATATACATACATACATACATACACATACACAGACATAAGACACAGACATAGACAGAAAGACAGAGAGATAGATATAGATTTAGTATAGACAGGCCAATTCCACAGACTGTCCTTCCAACTGTGTATCACAATCTGAACACTTGGCATTTTTCATCCACTTGGCTTTTTCTGGGTGGATAATTAACATCTAATTGGGTATAATTTAGAAGGTTCTGCAAGGTTCTGTGGCTTGATGTAACCAGCACATTTTGTAGAAATATATAAACAGGCTGGAAGCTGCTACTTTCTTTTATTTAATTAGTTTTAATAAAAACAGTAACAATGGACCCAATTAAGCTAGCTTTGCAGCTATTTATGTTTAAACAAATGATGTTCAACCAATAAACTATCATAGCAAATATCTAGTTACTCCAAGATTACTCTTTGCCTATTTGTTTCCATGTACTTTTCTGTTTATATATCTATAATTACTGCATACTCTGTTCTTCTAGTTGTTTTTTCTTTTTACTTTACATAATTTCATAGTCTTTCCATATTTCTTTCTGCTCCTCATAATTGTTGATATAAATTGCATTATACCATTCTAGTAGATTAATATCTTTATTAAAACATTTCCTAAGGGCTAAACATTCAGGGTGCTTCAGTTTTTGGCAATTGCATGTAATGGTGCTACAAAAACCTTTGAGCAGTGAGTTTTTTGTGTTGTTTTCTTTTCTTTTATTCACTTTTAGGTTATACCCAAATTAGTGGATCAAAGGGAATGTTTATTTTTGCAACTTTTACTGCATTGTCAGATCACGCTCCAAAAATTCTACAAGTCTGCAATTCCATCAGAAATGAGTGTGTACCTGTTTTAATCACAACTTGTGGGTATTAAATGTTATTGTTTTAAAATTATTTTTGCCAGTTCAATGAATTTGAGGTCATACTCTAAAACTTGTTATAATGTGCATTTCTTTGATTAATGAACTTTTTTGTGTTTTTTTAAAAATATCACTGTTACTCCCATTGAACCCCATTTTTTCCAACAGCACCCTTCCTTATAACAAAGGGAAATTTAAGCGAAACAAACCAACGTCAACCATGCATTACAATATATGCAGTAGCAATTAAAAGGGGAAAGGGGCATATCTTACTATTAATGCTTTGGGAATCATAGCTATTCATTGTATTTCTATGAATTCTGTCTTTTAATGTTGACTTCCTTTGCATTATTGTGGTCACTGTGCATACTAATCTCTTGGTTCTGCTTTCTTTGCTCTTAGTTCATGTAAGACTTTCCAAGTTTCCCAGACTTTCTCATTTTTTTTAAGGTACAATAATATTCCACCATAATTATATAACACAATTTGTTCAGCCATTCCCTAATTTATGAACAGCCATCCCAACCTCATTGCCACTTTTTTGCTAGCAAAAAGTATTTCTATGAACATTCTGTTATATGAAAAATCTGTTTCCCCTTTCGAAAACTATTCATATTCTTTGATATGTGGCCTGGGAGATATTTTTATAAAATTTTAACAGCTCCTTATATATTTCAGATTTCAACTTTTTCCTATCATATTTACCACAAACATTGTTTCTAAATGTTATTTTTCTTTTGCTTATATTTTTTGTACAGATCAAATACAACTGTCTTATCCCTAATAAATTCTTCTATTTATTTAACAGAAAAAAAGTTTTCTCTTACCTATAGCTAAAAATGCTATTCCATTTTCTTGCATTTTAAAACAATTTTTATGTGTAAGTCTATCCTTTAGACAAAATTCATTCAAGTATAGAGTGTGAAATAAGTTTACATCCATTGCCTGTCAAACTGTTAGCCAAATTCCTTAAGTACATTTATTAAATTAGGAATCCTAGGTACCATGTTTTTTTTAATTTTTTATGTTTTTCAAATACTATTCTTTTGCATATATTTAGTTGAGTTTTCATATCTTTATTTTATTCCACTGATTTATTTCTCTATTTTGGTCCCAGAACCACATATTGTCTATGATAACTGCTTTGTAATGTGTTTTAAAGTCTGGGAATGCAACACTACTTTCAACAGCTTTCTTTATATATGTCCCTTCACAGTCCTACCTCTTTGTTTTTCTTTATCAACTTAATTATGTAAAGAAAACCCTTGACATTTTCATGAGTACTTCATTAAATCTGCAAATTCATTCTGGGATTATTATAATTTTTACTATGTTAATTTGATTCAATCATAAACAATTCATGTCCAATCATTCAGGTTTTTTTTTTTAATGTTGTTGACATTTTCTTCATTGCCTTCTGAGTAATAATGTCTATGCTTTTTTTTTCCCTATGCATTCAGTATACTCCCTTATTTCAAGTATCTTGAGAAAGAAATACCACTCTGAAAATTAACTGTTCTCACAAATACAAAAGACCTGTAGTTCCAATTAAAGTGCTCTTTTGTTTTAAGTAAAGAATTTCTAAAGAAAATTATTTGGGAATTGATTTCAATTAGCTTTGTCACTGACTCTAACATAACTTTGCATGTCATTGTTCTTTAACAAATGAGTATAGAAGTATAAAAAATTAATATATCTGGCTAAGGGTAATAGATATGCTTATATATTATGTAATATATTTTAAGTGCATATCTGTTACCCTTAGCCAGAAAAGTGTGTCTGTGTGCATATATGTACTATACATATATACATACATACATTATATACACACACACATACACACAAATACAGACATATACATCAGGAACCTAGATATTTAAATAATCTCTCCCATCTCCCTCTTTAAAATTAAAGTATCAGAGTGCTCATAGAAGAAAGGTAATTATGTAAATAAATATAATAATTTTGTCTTTCATACTTTTTTAAAAAAAGGAAAAAGGTGCTACACTAATGAAAATGAATTTTAAATGATTAAAGAAAATACTATTTCAATTTTTAAATAATGTATACATTAATCTCATTTTGAAAGACAAATAAAAGAATCATTTCAGAAGCAGCAAGTTCATGTTTCTTATCCACACATAAAACAAAACATCTACTTAAAGTTTTTCAAAGCTTTTAATTTTTACACACAAACAAAGAAGATGTTAGGCTTAAACCAGAGTTAACAGTATTGACGGATCAACTCGGACACTGAACCACAACTGCTTGGGTAATGATGTTAAGAAAGACTTCTGGGATAGGAAGTACACAACAAATTGAATTTGCTTTACCTCGTTCCAACCAAAAGTTTTGCCCTAAGAATATGTCCTGCATTGCCTTTCATATATCATAGGATTTGCAAAGCAATAAAATACAAGTGCAGTATCACAGCCCAAGCCTACAGTTTTCTACCTAATATGACAATCAAGTCTTAAACTGACATGAACTGGCACATTTAAGGCAGAATGCCCTTAAAATACTGAATTTTCTTTTCAGGGAGAATTGCATTTATGTCACATAGCTACTCTTGAGAAGAAATGACCTTTGGAAAAAGGTAAGGTCACTTAA